TCACAGGCTGTAGTACCTATTAGGATCTTCAAATACGAAATTCGAAACAATTCGGGTAAATGATATCGCTTAAATCACCAAAATACCGAAAATCGAGAGGTACCTTTATATGGAGGCTATACGAAGACCTGGACCTGCACAGATAATTTTCTGTCATAGGCTGTAGTTTCCATTTCGAACTTCAAATACCAAATTTCAAACAATTTCTGTGAATATTGTACCTAAAATCGTCACAGATAATTTTGGACCTGCACAGATAATTTTCTGTCATAGGCTGTAGTTCCCATTTCGAACTTCAAATACCAAATTTCAAACAATTTCTGTGAATATTGTACCTAAAATCGTCAGAATACCAAATATCGGAAGGTACCTTTATATGGGGGCTATACGAAGATCTGGACCTGCATACGCAATTTTTTGCCATGGGCTATAGTACCCATTAGGAACTTCAAATACTAAATTTGAAACAATTTCGGCGAATAATGTTGCTAATATCATCAAAATACCGAATATAGGAAGGTAACGGTATATGGGGGCTATACGAAGACGTGGACCTGCATAGACAATTTTCTGTCGCAGGTTGTAGTACCTATTAGGAACTTCAAATACGAAATTTAAAACAATTCCGGTGAATATTGTAGCTAAAATAATCAAAATACCGAGTATCGCGAGATACCTTTATATGAGGCCTATACGAAGACCTAGATCTGCATTGACAATTTTCTGTCACAGGTTGTAGTACCCATTACAAACTCTAAATACGAAATTTCAAACAATTCTGGTGAATAATGTCGCTAAAATCAATACCGAAAATACCGAAAACGGGAGGTACGGTTTTATCTGGGCTATACGAAGACCTGGACCTGCATAGACAATTTTTGGCATAGACTGTATTACCTATTAGGAAGTTCAAATACCAAATTTCAAACAATTTCTGTGAATATTGTCGCTAATATCATCAAAATACCTAATTTCGGGAGGTACCTTTATATGGGGGCTATACGAAGATCTGGACCTGCATAGACAATTTTCTGGCATAGGCTGCACTATCCGTTACGAACTATGAATACGAAATTTGAAACAATTCGGATGAATGATGTCGCCAAAATCACTAAAATACCGAAAATCTTGAGGTACCTTTATATGGGGGCTATACGAAGACGCGGACCTGCATAAACAAATTTCTGGCTGCAGTAGATATAGCCCATCTTCGAACTTGTCCTGCATGCACACAAAAAACTGATCTGTGAAAAATTTTAACTTCATATCTCAATTCGTTTTGGCTCTCTTTGATTACAACAGAAGGACAGGACGGATAGGACTAAATCGTCTTAGAATATTATTCCAATCAAGAATATATATACTTTGTTAGGACTCTAATTAATATTTCGATGAGTTACAAATGGAATAATGAACTTAATATACCCTCCATACTATGTATGGTGGAGGGTATAAAAATAGATAAGGTATTCGTGCTATCCGCGGCATTTTGGATAAAATGGATAATTTATACACGTTATCTGAGTTATTAAGGATAATATTTAATGATAAATGGATAAAATGAGTGAAAAAAACTACGTTCTCCGAGATAGTTCAGGGAAACGGATAATGTATCTTTCTGGTTAAAAAGAATAATGCAACAACCTTTTCTGAAGTAGTTTTGGATAAAATGGATAATTTATCTATGTTATGCAAACGGATTATTTATCTACGTTATCCGAGCCATTTTGAATAAAAAATATTATGAATATACGTTATCCAAAGTATTTTGGATAAATTGGATAATGCATCTACGTTATCCGAGGTCACGGATAATGCATAATGGATAATCTATTCACGTTATCCAATCCATTTAGGATAAAATGGTTAACTTATCTACGTTTTCTGAGGCATTTTGGATAAAACGGATAATCTATCTGTGTTATCCAAGGCATTTTCGGATAAGATGAATTGTGGCAGTATGGATAGAGTGGATAATGTGTATACGTTATCCGAGATATTTTGGATGATATGGATAATGTATATACTTTATCCGAGGTGCTTTGGATAACATTGATAAGGTACATATGTTATCCGAGGCAGTTTGGATAACATGGATAATGTATATACGTTATCCGAGATATTTTGGATAATATGTATAATGAATATACATTATCCAAGGCAGTTTGGCAGTAATGTGAATATTGTTTTTGCATAATATGGATAATGGTTATATGTTATCCGAGTTAATTTGGATGATATGGATAATTTACACTCTTTATTCAAAACACTTTGGATAACATGGATAATGTATATATCTTATCCGAGGAATTTTGGATAAAGTGGATAATGTTTATAAGTTATCCGGCGCATTTTGGATAATGACTCTTTTTATCCGAAGCACTTTGGATAACAGGGATAATGTATTTAAGTTATCCGAGGCATTTTGGATAAAACGGATAATGTATCTAAGTTATCCAGCGCATTCTGAATAAAGTTAATAATATAAGGTATCCGAAGCCGATGGGATAACGTGGATAATGTTTATAAGTTATCCGAGGCACTTTCGATAACATGGATAATGTATATATGTTTTCCGACGCTGTTTGGATAAAGTGGATAATGTTTAAAGTTATTCGGGGATGATGGATAACATGGATAATGTATTTTCGTTATCCGAGACATTTTGGATAAATTGGATAATGTATCTAGATTATCCAGAGCATTCTGAATAAAGTTAATGCTATATATAAGTTATCAGAGGAAGTTGGAATAAAGTGGATAATTTTTATAAGTTATTCAAGGCACTTTGGATAACATGGACAATGTAAAAACCTTATCCGAGGCACTTTGGGTAACATGGATAATGTATTTATATTATCCAAGGCAGTTTGGATAAAGTGGATAATGATTATAGTTTATCCGCGGCATTTTGGATAAAACGGATAATGTATCGGGGATACCCAAGCTATTCTGAATAAAGTTTATAATATATATATACGTTATCCGAAGCAGTTGGATTAACGTGGATAATGTTTATAAGTTATCCAGTTCATTTTGGATAATATGGATAATTTATGCACTTTATCCGAGGCACTTTGGATAACATGGATAATGTTTTTAGGTTATCCGTGGCATTTTGGATAACACGGATAATGTATCTGAGTTATCCAAAGCTGTCAGAATAAATATAAAAATGTGTATAAGTTATACGAGGCCGATTGGATAACACGGATAATGTGTATACGTTATCCGACGTATTTTGAATGATATGGATAAAGTATATACTTTATCCGAGGCAGTTTGAATGAAAAAGATAATGAATACACCTTATCCGTGGCATTTTGGATAAAACGAATAACGCGTCTAGGTTATCCAGAGCATTCCGAATAAAGTTAATAATGTGTATACGTTATCTGAAGCAGTTTGGATAAAGTGGATAATGTTTTTACGTTATCCGAGGCAGTTTGGATAACATGGATAATGTATTTATGTTATCCAAGGCAGTTTGGATAAAGTGGATAATGGTTATAATTTATCCGCGGCATATGAATAATGAACACACTTTATCCGAGACACTTAAGATGACATGGATAATGTATTTATGCTATCCGAGGCAATTTGGATAAAGTGGATAATGTATTTATGCTATCCGAGGCAGTTTGGATAAAGTGGATAATGTTTATAAGTTATCCGGGACATTTTGGATTATATGGATAATGTACAAACTTTATCCGAGGCACTTTGGATAACATGGATAAAGTATATATGTTATCCGGTGGGTTATGCAAAGCATCCTGAATAAATTTGGCAATATAGATGTGTTATCCGTGGCAGTTGGGATAAAGTGGATAATGTTTATCCCTTATCCGAGGCATTTTGGATAAAAAGTGTGATGTATACACTTTATCCGAGGCATTTGGACACGTTTTTCGCAGTAATTTGTATTAAATGGATAATCCAAGGCAATTAGGATAAAACGGATAATGGATTTTTGATAAAATTGACAACTCTTATCAAGATTTTCAGGGTAAAATTGATATTAAAAATATTTGGATAAAATATCCTTGTTATCCGAGACATTTTGGATAATTTAGAATTTTTTACGTTATCCAAATAAATCTTATTTAGGCTTTTTGGATAAAATGGATAATTAAAAATTTTGGATAAAATATCCTCGTTATCCGAAATCCTTTGGATATTTTGGAATTTTTACGTTATCCAAATAATTTTTCTTAAAGTGAATAATGTACTCCTATTATCCGAATTCATTGGATAAGATGATGTATTTATATTATCTATGTATTTTGGGTTGGATAAAATGGACAGTTTTATTGTATCATGTTTTATTTTTTTGATACAACTGATTATCCACAGCAGCATTTTCAATAATAATTAATTTTAAATTTTCCAAAAATTTTCTTTTCATGGAGGTAATTATCCACTTTTCAAAAGCCTCTAACAAAATTTCAAATTTAATAACAAAATGTAATTGGTAATGTGTCATTATCCGTGAACTGTGATCCAATTATACGCTGTGACTTTTATTGGGAATCACCCCTCCCATCTGTAATTATTTTCAAATCGATTTCCATACAAAATCGTACACTGTGTCGCACACGCATGGCGAAATGGACGAATTGAAAAATATAAACAAAATGTACTTGACACCATGCATGCATTCGTTTATTTAGGTTTTGGAATGCTTCAAATGTCATCAACGGCAATGACAACAAAACTCAATTGTCAAGATGTAATTATGTCAAAGATCACAGATAGACAGACCGACACACAAACACACACACACACACACACATCACTCATTCTTTAAATATTTAGAAAAGGTCTCAAGAAGACAATGCAATTTTGTTTATCCACTTTGTTATTTAAACTTGGCACAGAAAGAAATAGGTTTATGAAAATTTATTTTTTTCGCTTTAATTGAATTGTGATTTCTGATTTAGAAATCCGAAATAAATTATCTTAATTAAAAAATTCTATTTGCCAATTATCACACTTACGCTTGACCGACACACACAACGGGACAAACAAACAAATCTACCGACAAAACTAAGTGTGCCCACCAAATGCGACACACAGCAACTGAATCTCTAATCGAAAAACTCAGCTTTATATATCAAACCGGCCCCAAATCCCCACCAGTGTTGCTGGGAGATTAGTACTTGACTCTCGCTCGCAATGCTCATTTGATCAAAAAAAAAAAAACAATAACAAACCGTTGAGATTAAAATGCACAACATCTACTGTTATTTTTTGTTGTTGTCGTTTCTTATTTGAGAGTTAACTCTCATAATTTAAAGAGAGTTATCTTCTCTGGGTTGTGTTCACAAGCCAACCAAGCCAAAGATATGTCTGGCGGGAGATTATTTATTACAGGTAATATAATAATGAATTTATGATCACAGTGGTCAAAATATCGCAAATTCTATGAAAAAAACCTAAAAATCTACGATTATAGAGTCTTTCAAAAACACCAGAATAGCTCGGATATGCACTAAAGTAAAATTATACTCCAAAATTCCACAGTTATAGCTTTCACTGTGAAATTAAAATTTCTTGACCTATTACAATTATTCTTAAAACTTAATTGAATTTAAACCTAATAATATAAAAAATTACACTGTGCGACATAATTATTTTCTCCAAAATTACGAAAAAAATATTAAAAATGATCAGTCGGTTTTTGTCCGCGGATGTATACCCTCAGCTATTGTCCATTTATTTAAACATATTTTGGCATACGTATTTATTACTCATCATGTTGAGATATGGTTCCGAAGGAGTTGGCCAATATTGTACAACTCCTCTCTGATATAAATATTACCACGTGCCATATTTGGACTATATCACTTGAGATATATGATAATTTTAAAAGAATTTTGAAATGTTCCTGAGGTGCCAGATATAGTGGCACGAAGTATTCCACTTCATTGAATACTAATAACAAGTAAAAAAGCTGTAAGTTCGGCCCTCCACCAATTGGTACAAATTTGGAAATTTTCAAAAAAATAAAAATCCATTAAAAATTCTTTTAAAATCTTAAAAATACCGAATATAGCCGTATATTAGAGTCTATACGACGACGTGGACCTGCATACGCAACTTTTGTCATAAGCCTGCGTAGACAATTTTCTGGCATAGGCTGTAGTATTCATTACAAACTTCAAATACAAAATTTGAAATAATTCCGGTAAATAATGTCGCTAAAATCATCAAAATACCGAATATCGGGAGGTACCTTTATATGGGAGCTATACGAAGACGTGGACCTGCACAGACAATTTTCTGTCATAGGTTGTAGTATTCATTACTTCAAATGCGAAATTTGAAACAATTCCGGTAAATAATGTCGCTAAAATGATTAAAATACCGAATATCAGGAGGTACCGTTATATGGGGCCTATACGAAGATGTGGACCTACATGGTCCATTTGCAATACCAAAAGTCCTGCAAACATAATACATATTTGAGTAAATTTTTATCACCATTCTTCATTTCGTTCGGAATCTAGAGTGATTTCCACAGAAGGACAGACGGATAGACGGACGGACATCGCTAAATCGACATAAAATTTTCTGCTGATCAAGAATATATATACTTTGTGGGGTCTAAAATGTATATTTCGAGGTGTTGCAAACGGAATGACAAACTTAATATACCCTTCATACTATGGTGGAGGGTATAAAAATATTGGCTCAGCAAAATATGAAGAAAATCGAACATTTATTTTCAATTTTATGCGAATAATTGTAAATATTTTTTTTGCGGGAGGAGGTATCATGGGGTCTTAGCAGAAAAATGCATTCATATCACATCGCTGACTTGTTTCGCAAGTTATGAGAGATTTATGTATTTAAAATTGTGATCGTTTGTGGGGGAGGTACTACAAGGGGTTAGCCGATATCTATCATCTTTGCACCATATCTTATGTCGGTCGAAATATTGAGATGTGTGAAGCTTGAAAAAAATCGCATTTTTAGGCGTTTTGTTATTAAAAATTTGATCCCTCTGTACAGGGAGAGGTACAAGAAGAAGTAGATGGATATATCTCATCTTCACACCAGATCTTGTGTTGATATAAATATTGGGATGTGTGAAAATTTAAGAGAGTCGAATGCTTTTTCACATTTTAAGAGAGATATAATTATTTAAAATTTTGACCCGTTGTGGGGGAGGTACCAGAAGGGCTCAACTGATATTTGCCATCTTCACAGCAGATCCTGTGTTAATAAAAATAATGACATCTGTGAAATATAAAGAAAAGCGGATGCTTATTTCGGATTTTTAATCGTTTTAGTTATTCAAAACATTGACACTTTGAGGGGAAGGCACCAGAAGAAATGGTGCCATCTCTACCATTTTTGTAACAGATCTCTTGTTGATAGATATTGGAATCGAATGTCAATTTCGTGTTTTTTGATCTTCATGGATATTCCAAATTTTGATCCTTTGTGGAGGGAGGTACCAGAAGGAATGGTCCGAGCTCTACCTTCTTTATAACAGATCTTGTGTTGATAGAAATATTGATATTTGTCAGGACTGAATGGAATCGGATGTCAATTTCGTGTTTTATGAGCTCCAAATTTTGAACCTTTGTGGAGGAGGTACCAGAAGAATTACACCGATACAGCCCATCTTAGTAGTTAGTAGAAATAATGAGATGTGCGAAATATGAAGAGAAACGGATGCTTATTTCCGAATTTTATAATCAATTTGGTTATTCAAAATTTTACACCGTTTTGGGGAAGGTACCAGGAGGAATGGCCCTATCTCTACCATTTTTATAACAGAGCTTGTGCTGATGTTGAATGGGATCGAATTTTAATTTCGCGTTTTGTGAGCTTCATGAATACTCAAAATTTTGACCCTTTGTGGGGGAGTTACTTGATGGTGTGGACCGATATTGTTCTTTTTCGCACCTGATCTAGCATTGATGCAAATATTAGGATTTGCAAAGTTGGGGCAAAATCGGAATATCCTTTCTCTTTCTGTGCAGAGAAGTATTTCGTTGGAAAATCTTGACCTTTTGTGGTGGAGGTAGCAGAAGGAGTGGACCGACATTGCCCATCTCTGAACTCGTTTTAAGTTTGACAAAAATATTACGATGTACCAAGTTTGGAACAAATCGGATAATCCCATCGAAAGTTATCGTGCGCACCAGCCAGACAGACAGACGGACAGACAATGATTTATACTCTTTCTAGCCCTTTGGCTACCAAATGAAAACGTATGTCCCGAAATTCACTCATTATTTGCACAATAAACCTGAGATCGGATTGAGGATATATATATATATATGGTAGCTATATCCAAGTCTTAGCCGATGCCGATAAAGTTTTGAATATGTATTTTCCGAGCTTTATAAGATATCTGATACCAAATTTCATTGTTGTCGAATGCATATTACGAATGTGAGGGACTTAAACACTAAATCGGATGAAACATATATGTGGGAGCTATAGCTATATCTGAACCGATTTTCACCAAAATTTGATGTACTTGCTTCTAGACTGAATTCGGACAAATGTGCCAAAATTCAATATATTTGGGCTGATTTTAGCCAATAAACCTTGAATCGGATTAAGGAGGTATTTCCGAGCTGTATCTGATATCCAGTTTCAAATATCATTGTTGTGGAGTACATATTACGCATGTGAGGGACTTTCAACCCCAAATCGGATGAAGCATATATATGGGAGCTATAGCTATATCGAAACCGATTTTCTCCAAATTTGATTTACTTGCTTCTAGACAGAATTCGGTGGGATGTACCAAAATTCAGGTCATTTGCACTTATATTGACCATTTGGTGCACAATTAACACGAAATCGGTTGAAGATATACATGGGAGCTATGTCTAAATCTGATCCGATCATCACCAATTTCAATAGGGTTCGTCCTTGGGCCTGTAGCTCAATCGGATAATAAATGCGACCTGCATTTTGTTCACAAGAATACATGGACGGAGGGACATATTGACATGCATAAATCGACTCAGAAAGTGATTCTCTGAAGTTCCCCAGAAGTAACTATGGGACTAGCTCGCTTCCTTCTCCATGTTACAAACAAATGCACAACAATATTATACCCTTACTATGGTGTAGAGTATAATAAAAATATCCACTATTTTCGATCCGTTGACCAAGAAGATAATTTCCTTAAAAATCCAACATTACGGTCCGCCAAAAAATATTTTTTCAAGAATATAGCTCTAATAGTCCTTCAAAAAAAAAAAAAAAAATAAAAACAATAAAAATCTGAAAGTATTTCTCTTAAAGTGCATTATAAATATTTCAAATACTAGCCAAAACCACATGTTTCCCTTAAGTTTATCGCAATTCGCTCATTTTGCTTTAAACGAATTCTTATCTCAATGACTTGAAAATCAAAAATTATGACTTTCAATTTGATCATTTCGGGTCATAAATTTCCCAGCTGACATAGTTCTAGAAACGCATTTGAACTTTAAAACTATAATGTGGGGTTTCAGTAACCAAACCAAAATGACCTGCAAGCCAAGTGATAAGAATTTGAAAAGAGGAGATTCCAATTCCACAAAGCTACTGAATACTGCAGATATGCCGATTCTAAATATACACTGTCTATGATCTACAAGGTACAATGACGCCTTTAAATTTATTTCAAAATGCTCCCGAATTTTTAATTAGAAAACCTATTCAGATTAGATTGATTTGCACGTTACACACTCACACACACGCTCAAGGTCGGCCGAAAAAAAGAGAAAAAGAAATCACCACACAGCGGCAAATGATAAACCAATTCAGTTTACTTTTTAAATATTTATTTATTCTGAAAACGATTAGCCCAACAAAAAAATATTCCAATGCATTAGCTTTTGATATTCTATCAGAATTTAAAAAAAAGATAAAACTGGTTTTGAAATTTCAAAATAAGAAGGTCTGTAATCCCGAAGACATCAAAACTCAAAGGCAATTTGTTTGGAAACAGATGAAAGGTGAGGCTGTCTCTTTGCTCAGATTAAAAACATTTGAAATGTAGAGCAGAAAGGTATTTGATTTTCAAATCCATTTGGAGATTGTAAATTGTGTGTGTTGACGTGTTGATAGTGATTCGGAGAAAGTTGTGGGAGATTTAGTGAAATATATGTAGGTATATAAGTCTATTAGCAGTCATTTAAGCTGATTAATAAAACAAATGAAGTATTCAATAAGGTTTCCGCTCAAATGGACAGAGTTGGGTAGATGAAATCGTCAATTATTATTTTTGTGGAACATGGCTCTGATAGTCGATGGAAAATAATGTTTAAAAAATCCACGCCTATGGCTCTGATAGTCGATGGAAAATAATGTTTAAAAAATCCACGCCTATGGCTCTGATAGTCGATGGAAAATAATGTTTAAAAAATCCACGCCTATGGCTCTGATAGTCGATGGAAAATAATGTTTAAAAAATCCACGCCTATGGCTCAGATAGTCGATGGAAAATAATGTTTAAAAAATCCACGCCTATGGCTCTGATAGTCGATGGAAAATAATGTTTAAAAAATCCACGCCTATGGCACTGATAGTCCATGGAAAATAATGTTTAAAAAATCCACGCCTATGGCACTGATAGTCCATGGAAAATAATGTTTAAAAAATCCACGCCTATGGCTCTGATAGTCCATGGAAAATAATGTTTAAAAAATCCACGCCTATGGCTTTGATAGTCCATGGAAAATAATGTTTAAAAAATCCACGCCTATGGCTTTGATAGTCCATGGAAAATAATGTTTAAAAAATCCACGCCTATGGCTTTGATAGTCCATGGAAAATAATGTTTAAAAAATCCACGCCTATGGCTTTGATAGTCCATGGAAAATAATGTTTAAAAAATCCACGCCTATGGCTTTGATAGTCCATGGAAAATAATGTTTAAAAAATCCACGCCTATGGCTTTGATAGTCCATGGAAAATAATGTTTAAAAAATCCACGCCTATGGCTTTGATAGTCCATGGAAAATAATGTTTAAAAAATCCACGCCTATGGCTTTGATAGTCCATGGAAAATAATGTTTAAAAAATCCACGCCTATGACTTTGATAGTCCATGGAAAATAATGTTAAAAAAAATCCACGCCTATGGCTCTGATAGTCCATGGAAAATAATGTTTAAAAAATCCACGCCTATGGCTCTGATAGTCCATGGAAAATAATGTTTAAAAAATCCACGCCTATGGCTCTGATAGTCCATGGAAAATAATGTTTAAAAAATCCACGCCTATGGCTCTGATAGTCCATGGAAAATAATGTTTAAAAAATCCACGCCTATGGCTCTGATAGTCCATGGAAAATAATCTTAAAAAAATCCACGCCTATGGCTCTGATAGTCGATGGAAAATAATGTTTAAAAAATCCACGCCTATGGCACTGATAGTCCATGGAAAATAATGTTTAAAAAATCCACGCCTATGGCATTGATAGTCCATGGAAAATAATGTTTAAAAAATCCACGCCTATGGCACTGATAGTCCATGGAAAATAATGTTTAAATAATCCACGCCTATGGCACTGATAGTCCATGGAAAATAATGTTTAAAAAATCCACGCCTATGGCACTGATAGTCCATGGAAAATAATGTTTAAATAATCCACGCCTATGGCTCTGATAGTCCATGGAAAATAATGTTTAAAAAATCCACGCCTATGGCTCCGATAGTCCATGGAAAATAATGTTGAAAAAATCCGCGCCTATGGCTCTGATAGTCCATGGAAAATAATGTTTAAAAAATCCACGCCTATGGATTTGATAGTCCATGGAATATAATGTTTAAAAAATCCACGACTATGGCTCTGATTATTCCAGCTTCAAAACTCATTTTTCATGGACTCATTGTCTCGATTTAAAATATCTCATCGTCATTACGTTCTTCCTTAGCACGTGGCACAGATGTTAACAAAATGCTACGTCAGTATATATTACCAAGTGAAATATAAACAAATTAATTATTCAGATTTTGTTTTTGATTTTTGTTTTGGATTACATGTAAAAAAATTGAATTGAGTATTGACATTAACACATCTTCACAATTGACATAATTTTTTCGTAAGTACATTTCAATAAATTCGAGTTTTTAAGTTATCCGGAAGTATTATTTATAGATTTTTGAACAGTTTGTCGCCTTGATGAGCAAGTAATTACACCACAGAAGCCTTGGAACAGGAATGAGACACTTCTAAAAATATACAAAGAAACAAAAACATGTGGTTGTATTAATAAATGTGTATCATTCAAAAGTTAATTTTAAAAAATAAATAATAAAAACTTCCACCATTTGGAAGGAGTCTACAAAATTTCTAAAAAAAAAACCCTTTGAAAAATGCTGCTAAAATACCGAATATAGGAATTTGCCATTATATTGGGGCCCATACGAAGACGTGAACCTGTATGTGCAATTTTTGTCATAGGCCATTACGATATTCGATATAGTTCCGGTGAATAATATAGCTCAAATCATTAAAATACCGAATATAGCGAGGCTCCGTTATATGGGGCCTATATGAAGACCTAGACCTGCATGAGCAATTTTCAGTCATAGGTTGTAGTACCCATTTGAAAATTCAAATACGAAATTTGATACAATTCTGGTGAATAATGTCGCTCAAATTATCAAAATACCGAATATAGCAAGATACCGTTATATGGAGGCTATACGAAGACCTAGACTTGCATAGGCAATTTTCTGTCCTTTTGGAAACATCAAACATGAAACCTCATTTCGCTCGGAGGCTAGAGTCCATACTATGGTAGAGGGTATAAAAAACTTATTCAAACTGTTGGAAGTTTTGTGAATTGTTGCCCTGAAGAGGCGTGGCATCTTTTATGGTTCTTTCCAAGATATATCTAATATGTTATATGTTGCAAACAGTTGATTTTCCGGGTTTCTTTTGTAACAGCGGCCATCCAAGATTTTTTAAAAATTGAAAAATTTAATAAAACAAGTAAAATATCCCATCCTTGAGTTATGACTGAAACTGACAAACTGTTGATCCTTTATGGGGGAGATTCCAAAGCAGTTGGCCTATTCGTATCTGACCTAAGATTGATATAAATATTACAATGTGCCAGATTTGGACTATATCGACTACTCCCTATACTTTATATGAGATACGTGCAAATTTTTGAAAAATGTGGAAGTATGCGTGAGGTAGCAGTATAGCGGACCGAAGTATTCCAATTTTATACTATATCTAATACAGATACAAATATTGGTATATGCAAAATTTGAACGAAATCGAAAATTTATATCCAATTTTATGGGAAATCATAAATTCTGATAAATTACATATTCATATCAGATTTTTGAAAATATTTAGATATAACATGTTGTAAGGAATCACCGACTTGTTTCGCAAGTTATAAAAGTACTGCAAATTGTGACCCTTTGTGGGTGAGGTACCCGAAGGAGTTTGCAGATATGTATCATCATCTTCACAACAGATACATATTTGGATGTGTGAAATTTGAAGAGAGTTGGAAGCTTTTTTTAGCGTTTTGTTTTTCAAAAATCTTGAATTCTTGTGGGGGAGGTACCAGAAGAAATGGTGCGATCTCTACCATCCTTATAAGAGATCTTGTATTGATGGAAATATTGAGATGTACCAAGTTTGAATGGATTCGGACCCTATGTGGGGGAGTTACCAGAAAGATTGGGCCAAAGTGTCCCATCTTTACACCAGACCTTGGATGTGTGTAATTTGAAGACAATCGGATGCTTATTTCAGATTTTATGATCCTTTTGGTTATTCAAAAATTTGACCCTTTGTGAGGGAGGTACTAGAAGAAATGATCCTCTCTGTACCATCTTTATAACAGATCTCGCCTTAATGGAAATATTGAGATGCACCAAGAGCTTCATCGATACTTAAAATTTTGACCCTATGTGGGGGAGGTACCAGAAGGATTGGACCAATGTGTCCCATTTTCACAGCAGACCTTGGGTTAATAAAAATATTGTGATGTGCGTAATTTAAAGACAATCGGGTGCTTATATCGGATTTTATGATCCTTTTGGTTACATACAATTTTGACCCTTTGTGAGGGAGGTACCAGAAGAAATGGACCGATCTCTACCATCTTTATAACTGATCTTGTGTTGATGGAAATATTGAGATGTACCAAGTCTGAATAGAATCGGATGTTAATTTCGTAGTTTATGAGCTTCATAAATATTCAAAATGTTGACACTTTGTGGGGACGGTACCAGAAGGAGTGGACCGATATATTCCATCTTCACACCAGACCTTTGGTTGATAAAAATATTATGTTTTGTGTAATTTGAAGAAAATCGGAGTCTTTTTTTTACATTTTATAAGAGTTATAATTATTCAAAATTTTGAGCCGTTGTGGGGGAGGTACTTGATGGAGTGGACCGACATTGTCCATTTTCTCACCTAACCTAGTACTGATGCAAATATTAGGATTTGCAAAGGTGGAGCAAAATCTGATCATCCTTTCTCTTTCTGTGCAGTAAATGATTTTCTTTGAAAATTTTGACATTTTGTGGGGGAGGGGCCAGAAGGAGTGGACCAATATTGCCCCTCTCCGTACTCGATCTAAGTTTGACAATAATATTTCGACGTACGAAGTTTGAATCAAATCAGATACTCCCTTCGAGAGTTATCGTGTGCACCGGCCAGCCAGACAGACGGACCCATGGACATCTCTAGATCGACTCCAAATGCCCTAAAACGAATTTCGTCCAAAGAGACCTAGGGTCTAAGACCGTTATCTCGATGGGACACGTTTTGACCGTATTAAATGATATATACCCTCCCTAGGCATATGGCTGAGGATATAAAATTTATAAAGGTAAAATTATTACTAAAATTATAGTAATTACCGAAATTTCAATTGAGCGACCAAAATAAAGTAGTCATCAAGACCTAATTGAAAAGTCATCATTTTGCGTTTTAATTTTCCCGATATTTGTCGGTAACTCAAAAAATGAGTTGGAGAATCGCACAAAAAATTTTTAGTGTTCGAATCTAATGAAATATCAGAGTAAATTCTCTTGCTATGAGGTATTCCCAATTTGAGCTACATTCCGAAAAAAACGTTTGATAAACCGATACTAGTAACTATAAAACTCTAAAGGTGCACGAGGGTACATAAAAAGCGTTACACCAAGGCTAGACACATTATTGTCAAATTATAAGGGGAAACTACGGATGGATTCGGGTGCGGCTCTGGCATCCCTTTATGATGTGTCATAAAATATACCATGCGAAGACTTCATGCTGCTTATGTACCCATACCTTAAAATGTTTAAAATTATCAATTATTAGACATCATACAAACGAAAAAAAAAATTAAAAATAATCCACATTTTTACTTACTATCGGTAAGACCCCATCCAATTTTGACTTTTTCTTTGCGATTTTCCTCCTTAAGCCACACACGCAGTGGTTCAAAGTATTCGAGCAAAGCGGCTGGATCCATGGTAGTATCACCGGTAAATTCTTTCAGGACCTCAGTCCAATGACGTGATGCACCAGCTGTTAAAAAGTGGCTGAAAAATAAAGCAATACACGATGTTAAATTTATGACTGTGAATTTTTAAAAATATTTTTTGAGGATCAAAATATCAGGATCAAAATTTATATAATTTTTGAAAAAAGAAAAATTAGAGATTTAAGAAATATAATTGTGTATTCGTTAATAATATTTTAATGTCCCACAAAGCTATAATTGTGATTCTTTTAAGAATAAGTTTCTACAGCCTTTAGAGCTATAATCAAGAGTTTGAAAAGATCTATAGAAAAAAATGTATACCCTACACCACATAGTGGTAAGGGTATTATGTATTTGTGCATTGGTTTGTAACATGGAGAAAGAAGCGAGATAAACCCCGTAGTTACATTTGAGAGTCTTCATAGAATCATTTTCTGAATCGATTTATGCATGTCTGTCCGTCCGTCCGTCTGTCCATGTATTTATGAGAACAAAATGCAGGTCGCATTTATTATCTGATTGGGACGAAATTTTCCAAAAAATATTTGTTTGGCCCAAGGACGAACCCCATTGGAACTGATGAGAATCGGTTAAAATTTAGACATAGATCCCATATAAATCTTCAACTGATTGGGAGTTAATTGTGCACCAAATTACCAATATAAGTCCAAAAAACCTGAATTTTGGTACATTCCACCGAATGCAGTGTAGAAGCAAGTACATCAAATTTGGTTCAGATATAGCTATAGCTTCCATATATATGTTTCATCCGATTTGGTGTTTAAGTCCCTCGCATTCGTAATATGCACTCGACAACAATGATATTTGGTACCAAATATCAGATACAGCTCTGAAAGAAGTGTATCAAGTTTTGTCAAGATCAGTTCACATTTGAATATAGCTCCATATATATTTCCTCAACCGATTTCGGGTTAACCAAATAGCCAATATCAGTCCAATTGACCTGCATTTTGTACATCCGACCGAATTCAGTCTAAAAGCAAGTACATTCAATTTGGTGGAAATTGGTTTAGATATAGCTATAACTCTCATATATATGTTTCATTCGATTTGGTGAATAAGTCCTTCACATTCGTAATATACATTCCACAAAAGTGATATTTGGTACCAGATATCTTATAGGGCTCGGAAATAACTTTGCCAAATTTTATCGAGAACGGCTAAGATGTGGATATAGCTCCCATATATATCAATAATCCCATTTCGGCTTATTTCTAAAAAAAAATCCACGTTTATTGGTGGCTCTTGAAAAAATATTTTTAAAAACTCCACATTTATTGGTGGCCCTTGAAAAAATATTTGTAAAAAATCCACGTTTTTGGTGGGCCTTAAAAAAATATTTGTAAAAAATCTACGTTTTTGGTAGCCATTCAAAAAATAATTTTAAAAAAATATTTAAAAAAAATCCACGTTTATTGTTGGAACCTGAATAAATATTTTTTAAAAAATACACGTTTATTGTTGGGCCTTGAATAAATATTTAAAAAAAATCCATGAAGAAATATTTTTAAAAAATTCCCGTTTATTGGTGACCCAAATTTTATCGAGATCGGCTAAGAATTGGATATAGCTCCCATACATATCTCTAATCCGAGTTCAGGTTTTTTGTACAAATAATGGCTAATATCAGCCCAAATTGAGTGAATTTCGGAACGTACGTTTCCATTTTGTGGAACTCGGCTTCGATAGATATTTTTTAATATAATCCTTCTCGAAGTGATATCATTCACTCTATAGCAATGTTATTTGGTATAAAAGATAAAAAAGTCTCCGTCAAATTTTGTGAAAATCGATTCAGAATTGGATATACCTCCCATATATTAGTTCCCTCTGAAACCAAACTAATCTACTCTGAAGTCAAATGTTGATAGGTAGTATCATCTGCTTCAAATAAATTTTTTTGTTACTGGAGCTCTACTAAATATGCATAGTGGTGTAGGGAATCATATAGTGCGCCCCGTCCAATTTTTTTACTTTTCCTTAGTGGTTTTATTTATAATTTCCCAAGTTCCTTCCGAAAAAATCCAAGGCCTACCATTTTATAAATTGAATCTATTAGAGATTTTATTTCTAGAACTATTTTTAAACGAGTCTGCAAATACCATGCTTTAAAAAGCCACTTTGATAGGGGCTTTTAAAAGATGCTATTTGAAGACTCGGTTAAGGATCTTTTTCAAAGTCTTCTAAACTCATACAAAGACATAGAAGTGTAAAGATAGGACAAGACAGGGTCAAGATATGGTAACCCTGTGAAAATAACTCTGTTGTTACGATATCGTGACAACATAGTTACCAATGTTAACTGGTTTAAACCGCTAAGGCAATGTGCAAATTTTCGGAAAGGTCCATGGAATAGAATTTCGAAACCAAAATTTTGGATTTTTCAAATTTTTATTTGTTATCTGTTTCTTTAATTTTGGTTTTTGCATTTTGTCTAGTCTTTACCATTTTAGGTCTTTGACTCATAGTCGTTTTAAAGGCTGGATTTTAAAAAGCTGGCAGCCTTTGGATTTATAAAACTTTAATAAATCTGAAATTATGGATTTTTTTATAGAATATTTGTCAGGGTCTACTACACCTATAATAGCGGATTATTTTAATTATTTTATTTCAATAAATACTGGTCCTTAAGTTTTTTTAAATATTTTTAAAGTCTCACAATTCCTAAAATCTTGGCTATTTTGGGGAACAGCGGACATTAACTAATGAAGTTTTTAAAGAGCAACGGAAAATATTGAAAATTAATTTCAGAGAATGTTTAAGAGCATTTGTAGCTCCATCTTATATATTGAAAATTAATATCAGAGAATTTTTAAGAGCATTTGTAGCTCCATCTGAATTTTTTGTAAAAATATTTTCTAAGGACTATTAGAGATAAAGCGGACATTAAAGGACTATTAGAGATAAAGCGGACATTAAATATTGAATTTAAAAAAAAAAATTTTTCAAGGCCTTCCGGACCTATAATCGTGATTTGTTTTAGGATTTTATTTTAAGGCCATCCAGACCTTTAATCCTTTTAAATTGTATTTTTAAGGAGTATCGGAATATATTGTCGAGTTATATCAGAGGATTTTTTTAAGGGCATTTTTACCTCCATTTTAGCTTCTAACCCTAAAATCTTGGACTATTAAAAAAATCCCCAAGGACTATCAGAAACATAATCCAGAATTTTTAACGAATATTATTTCAAAGATAATCCATCAAGTATTTTTGTTCCTCTTACCTGAAAGCACTTCCGGCTTCCTTGCTCTTATAAATATCACAATTATCCAAAGTTTGGTGGGCATCACCTTTAACATACTGTCCAGCCTTCGAACACATTGCCTTGTGGAACTGGAATTGGAATATGTGGGCGGCAAAGTAACGTAAATATTCAACATCGGCAGATACATGATATTTGGCCGGGGGATCAAAATCACTGTCGTTGCGAGAAATTGGCGGTTCAATACCCGAATACTCGGAACGCATTTGCCAAAAGGCACAATTCCAATTGTGTTCATCGATTTCATTGCGGAACACGGCATAACGATATTTGTCCATGGTATAGGCAAAGGGGAGGAAGACGATTTTCTTGAGAGACTGCAAAAAAAAGGATTTTTTTAAGTAAAATATTGGAAAAAATAGACATTTAACCTACAGTTCTAAACAATTCATTGATGCGACTCTCCTCATCCAATTCAGCTTGCGGAGCTAGGCCAATGGTGTTTAAATGCTTGGCCGATGATACGGACAGGGCAATAACATCACCCACAGCCTCATGAAAACCGGGATTGGGGGCACCTCTAAACACCGTTGGCTGTTTTTCATATTGCAAATAGTACTGGATGTGACCCAATTCATGATGGACCACATACAAATAGTGTGTATCAACTTCGGTGCACATCTTAATACGCACATCATTATCCTGATAGAAATCCCATGCGGATGCGTGACAAACAATTGTACGATCTTTAGGTTTCTCAATGACACTTAAATTCCAAAATGACTCGGGCAAGGCACTCATACCCAACGATTGGAAAAACTCATCACCCAATTCGAATAATTTCCGTACACTGTACTGTTGTTTCTCCATCTCAGCGGTGACATCCACGAATGGTTTATTCGGAAAGGGTTTAATCAAATCAATAATTTCATCCCACTGCTGACCCCACATGTTACCCAACAAATGCATTGGTATATTTCCATTGGGTGATACAATCTCTTCGCCATAATGTCGGGATAATCGCTGACGTACATAACCATGCAATTCGCGATAGAGGGGCAAGATGGCTTGAAAAACGTCGTCGAGATTTTTCTCAAAATCTGGATCCTCATACATGTGCACCCAATACTCAGCGGCGGAGGTGAAATCTGGAAGGGGAGAAAATAGAAAAAAAAACATTAGAAAAGGACTTTAGGAGGTGTGAAGGTCTTTTATTCTTAGCAGTCCTTCTAATTCCCCTTGGACCATTAAAACTATAATCCCCGGGTTTTAAGAATATTTTCTACTTTTTGAGACATAGTCGAGGACTTTTATAATAGACTCTCAGATCCATAATCGAGGATTTTTTAAAAATATTTTTTTATGAATTCTCAGAGCTATACTCGTGGGGTTTCTCTTAATATTTTTCGTGGACAACTAGAGCCATCATCCTGGATTTTTTAAAGTTTTTTATTAGAATATTAAAGCTAACCCGGCGGGGCCGAATATATGATACACCACTTTGCATATTTAGAAGAGCTACCGTAACAAAAGAATATTTTTGAAGTAGATCATACCATCTATCAACATTTGGCTTCAGAGTAGTTATAGTTTGGTTTCAGAGTGAGCTAATATATGGGAGGCATATGCAATTCTGAATCGATTCTCACTAAATTTGACGGGGATATTTTAATCTTTTATACCAAATAACATTGCTATAGAGTGTAGGATATGACTTCAAGAAGGATTATTTTAAAAACAATATATTTCAGATATATCAGTCATTATTTGCACAATATCTCTGAAATCGTGTTAAGGATATAATGGGAGCAATATACAAATCTGAACCGATCTCGATAAAATTTGGCAATAGTATTTCTGGGCTGTATCTGATATCTAGTACCAAATATCATTGTTGTCGAATATATATTACGAATGTTGGCGACTTAAACATTAAATCGGATGAAACATACATATGGTGGCTATAGCTATATCTGAAACGATTTTCTCCAAATTTAATGTACTTGCTTCTAGACTGAATTCGGTCGGATGTGCCAAAATTCAGGTAATTTGGTCTGATATTGGCCATTTGGTGCGCAATTAACCCGAAATCGGTTGAAGATATATATGGAAGCTATATCCAAATCTGAACCGATCTTGATAAAATTTAGCAAAGGTATTTCTGGGCTGTATCGGATATCTGGCAACAAATATCATTCTTGCGGAGTGAATATTACGAATGTGACCGACCTAAACACTAAATCGGATGAAACATATATATGAAAGCTATAGCTATATCTGAACCGATTTTCTCCAAATTTAATGTACTTGCTTCTAGATTGAATTCGGTCGGATGTGCCTAAATTCAGGTCATTTGGACTGATATCGGCCATTTGGTGCACAATTAACCGGAAATCGGTTTAAGATATATACGGGAGCTATATCCTAATTTTAACCGATCTTCATAAAATTTGGCAAAGGTATTTCCGAGCTCTATAAGATATCTGGTATCAAATATCATTGTTGTCGAATGCATATTACGAATGTGAGGGACTTAAACACCAAATCGGAGGAAACATATATATGGAAGCTATAGCTATATCTGAACCGATTTTCTCCAAATTTAATGTACTTGCTTCTAGACCGAATTCGATCGGATGTACCAAAATGCAGGACCTTTGGACTGATATTGGCCATTTGGTGCACAATTAACCGGAAATCGGTTGAAAATATATATGGGAGCTATGTCCAAATCTGAACCGATCTCAATAAAATTTGGCAGAGGCAGAGGTTGTGTCTGATATCTGGTACCAAAAATCATTCTTGTGGAGTGCATATTACGAATGGTACGGACTTAAACACCAAATCGGATGAAAAATATATATGGGAGCTATAGCTATAACTAAACAGATTTTCACCAACTTGTATGTACATGCTTCTAGACTAAATTCGGTCGGATGTACCAAAATTCAGATCATTTGGGCTGATATTGGCCATTTAGTGCACAATTAACCCGAAATTGGTTGAGGAGCTATATCTAAATTTGATCCGATTATCACCAATTTCAATAGAGATCGTTCTTGGGACAAACAAATATTGTTTGGAAAATTTCACAAGGATACATGGACGGGCAGGCGTACAGACTGGCATGCATATATCGACTCAGAAAGTGATTCTATGAAGATCCTCAAAAGTGTCTATGGGTCTATCTCGCTTCTTCTCCATGTTACAAACAAATTCACAAAGACATAATACATGTAGGGTATAAAAATATATGCTCATGGACTCGTAAAGCCATAATCGTCGATTTTTTCAAAGAAAATTTTCAATGGACTCTTAAGGTGAGAATACATAAAATGTTTTTTCAATGGCTTAAGTCATCGACTGGCTTCTCGGGAAAGGAACACAGAGGCTTAGGGCCTAAATTAAACTAAATCAACCTTAAACACCTTTGTTCCTCTGCGAAGAAGCCAGCCGATGACTTAAGTCAGTCAAAAAAGTATTTTATGTACTCTAACCTTTAGAGTTAAAATCGTGGATTTTTTCTAAGAAACTTTTTCATGGTCTTTCAGAGCCATAATCATGTTTTTTTTTTTTTTTTTTTAACAATTTTTCATGGACTCTTAGCTTTAATCGTGAGCGTTTTTTAAAGCATATTTTTAATGGACACTAATCCTCAATTTTGAATTTTACAAAGAATATTTCTTCAAGGATTCATCGAAGCAAAATCCTCTACGAGGAAACCAGTCCATGACTTAAGCCAGTTAAAAAAGCTTTTTATGTACTCTCACCTTTAGTGTTATAATCGTGGATTTTTTTCAAAGAAATTTTTTCAAGGACTTTTAGAGCCACAATCGTGGATTTTTTTGTGAATACTTTTTCATGGACTCTTAGCTTTTATCGTGAACGTTTTTAAAGCATATTTTTAATGGACACTAAATCTCAATCCTGATTTTTACAAAGAATATTTCTTCAGGGATTCTTCGAAGCATTTAAAAGTGTATTATATTCATGGACACTTAGAGCCAAAATCGATAATGGGTTAAAGTGTATTATATTCCTGTACACTTTGAGCCACAATCGTGTATTTTTTTAAAGATTATTTTTTCATGGGATCCTCAAGGCATAATCATGGATGTTAAAGACAAGTTTGTCATAGACACTTAGAGCAAAAAAAGTTGATTTCTTAAGGATATCTTTTCGTGGAATCCCCCTCAATTCATGAGTTAATTATCCTGTAAGATGGTATTATATCAATCCAATCAAACCGTATTAAGAGTGTCACATATATCCCCAAAGCTTCCTAAAGATTATACTACAATTCCGCTTTGAATCCCTTAATTGAATTAATTGAACTCGCGGATGTAATTCCTAGAAATATTGCAATATTTCATATGGCTGATATAACTTATCATTTTCCCTCTATTTTCGTATTGCCCTCTGGGTCAACAAACATCGAAATGTGTCGTATAACATCCATCAATCTAAGAGATAAGTGAATCATTACAATTAGAAAATTGATTAGAACTACTTACTATTCAATTTCGCCGCCTTGTTACTCAGCTCTATATATTTGGCGAAATTATCTCGCATTGGTGTGCCAGCCTTGTCGTACCATTCCTTCCAGTAATGGGCCAACTCTTTGGGATCACGACTATTCGAGAGGCGTTCCTGTACATGTGGCTCCAACGTGAGACTGCAATCCTTGGGATCCTTGTACGAACACACTTTGGTATTGGCATAATTCGATTGCATACTACTGACGGCATTTAACATGGTATTGAAATCTTCGGAACTTAGAATTTCCGCACCAATTTCACCGGCATATTCGGCCAACCGTTTCAGGCATGGATCGGGTAGTTCTTTATATTTTTTCGTTCGTACCAATTGGGATGCCTTGAGATTTTCCACTGCATTGCGGGCACTCACCGCAATCATATTCAGGCGATTTTCCTCGGTGACATTGGTGTTATAATCCCAGGCGGCCAAGAATTCTTCACGACGACGTTGTCTTAATAATTCTCCTTCTCTTTGGAAGAAATCACGTACTTCAGGAAAATCCCCCGAACATGTATCCGTCGAAGTCTCGGCATTGACAAGGTCAAATGGCTAATGGAAAAAACATAAAAATTAACATAATTTTCTCTCACATTTTTATTTAATGCCACCAAACTTACCATTGACCCAATGAGAAGAAGGGCAATAAACCCCAACCATATAGCCGGTACACACTTGCTGGACCTCATTGTTCCAACTGAAACATATGCAGCTGTTGAAGCTTAAATATAAACTGAATTCTATTTTGATTTGGAATCCTGACTGTTGTTAATAAAAACCTGTTCCTTATCGCCGCCGTTTTGCTGATCTGTGCAAAAAAAAAAAACCGGTGTCTTTCTTATCAGGTGGCGGATTGTTCGGCAGACTAAAAAAGAAAATAAAATAAAATCAAATGAAAACAAAACAAAACAAAGGTGACATGAGCATCTTTACCCCCCGCAAATTCCAACCATATGAAATGAGAGCGAGAAAAACGTGCAAAAAAGACTGCATGAAATGCATTTTGTATGTCATGCGCATTGCATATTTTGTGGGATGTGACATTTCAGATGCAGTGTCTATAACATAAGGTGTGTTCCTTAAATCCAATATTCTTTAAAAAAAATATATTCTTTTTAAAATAAAAATTGTGGGTCTATTTGTAAAAATCCAAGCCATTAGAAAATATTTTTATACCCTACAACACTATGTGTTGGGGGTATTATAAGTTTGATTGGGCCAAAAATTATGTAACACCTCGACATATTGATTTCCTACATAGGGAAGTATATATGGATCTTCCTATCTCGCCGAGCAGAGTCGATCTAGCTATGTATGTCCATCCGTCCGTCTGTCCGTCTGTCCATGTTAATTTGTAATCACTCTACAGGTCGCAATTATAGTCCGATCCTCACGAAATTGAAAATGGAGGTGGGGTTATGATCAGAATAGAACCCTATTTGATCGCGAGATAGAGCTTAGGGGTGGCTAGAAGTCTTCCAATTTTAATGGTCATCGGATAATATTTAGTGGGTGAAATAGACCATAACATTTGTGTTAAATAAAAGTAAAATTTTCCATTAAACCGCGAATATTTTTAATCCCGACGAAATCACAAACAGACGAACGGGTAAATTCTGACCGTTTCGTCGATGCCGATAGTTAATATATCGGATATATAGCGAAATATATACAATATGTATATACAAAGGAAGGGGATGTTAGCTATAATGCTTATATCTCAAGAATGGCTAGACCGATTTTGACAAATTATGTCAATTCAGAATGCCCTCTTGGCATAAAAGTATAAAATCTAAAAAAATCGCGCAAAAAGATGTCAGTACTGATGTTAATATAGGTTTTGTAGTATTTTGTGATATTTTTTTATTTTTTCATATTGTTATCGCATGCGATTTTTCCACATTGACTAAAAATATTGAAGTGTATATTTTGTAATATTTTTTTTAACTTACAACACATTTTGGCGTTATTATATACAGATTGCATTTATCGTCAGATCCTCACGAAAATTTTCATAAGGGTAGGGTTAGGCTCAGAAAATACCAACATTACTTACAGGCGATATCCGAAATACACAAAAGGCGAACTTCTGACTTTTTATGCTGATTTCGTTGATGAATATAGCCAAATATCGTAGACAAGCAAATCATATAGATGAGTCTTAATTTGGAGATACAGAGGGCCTCTTCCTTTTGGAGATGATCACAAAATATTTAGAGGTTCAAATGAACCAAAAACAGAAAAAATTTCCTGATCACACAATAGTAGTACAGAGAAGAATACTAGCATTTTGGCTGACCATTGGATTATATATAGCTGTAAAATGGACCACAACAACTAGCAGCACGACGGAGTGCGTAAATATTGGGCAAATGTCCCTGGTCAAAATGCTCTGGGTAATATATGGACAGTGCTCCGTGACATAATTTCAAAAGCGAAATCTTCCAAAATAGGTTTGGACATAAGAAGGCTTCTAACATATTGTTGTGTTGTAGGGTATCACATGGTTGGCCCCGCGCGACTGTAGCCTTTGCTTACTTGTTTATAAATACTGAAGAATGGCCATAGACAAATAGTCTAGGAAAGGTTAAAAAACGACCAAATTGTCTATTAATAAAAATTCTTTTAGACTTTAGAATTGATTATTGCAATATTCAAAAAACACGAATCAATGAATTATATACTTACGCCCTACTTATTTATTTTAGTTCCAAATCTCAAGCCTACGAGTATTTGACGTATTCAACTGCCTCCACAAAGGGTTAAAGTGAAAAACTCCCGATACAATCCCAGTCATCAATTCCGCCAACGCTAAACTCCACTCAAAACATGGAAAATAGTATCAGTCGGTTTTGCCGACAGATATATACCCCAGCCTTGAGCAATTATTTTTAAACTATTAACCCTTTATGGGGGAGTTTCCGAAGCAGTTGGCCAATATTGATAAATTCGTATCTGACCTAAGACTAATAAAAATATTAAAATGTGCAAGATTTGGACTATATCGACTACTTCCTATACTTTTTATGAGATGTGTGCAAATTTTTGGAAAATGTGGAAACATGTGGGAGGTAGCAGATATAGCGGACCAAAGTATTCCATTTTCATAATTCATTCAATATAGATATTGAAATATTTGTATGTGCAAAATTTGAAGGAAATCGAACATTTATATCCAATTTTATGCGAAATCATAAATTTCGATAAATTACATATTCATATCAGATTTCTGGTTAAGAGAAATATTTAGATTATTATCAAGTTGCATAGAATTCCTGATTTGGATCGCAAGTTATCACAGATATAAGTATTGAAAATTGTGACCCTTTGTGGGTTAAGGTACCAGAAGGGGTTTGTTCACAACAGATCTTGCGTTAACACAATATTTTAATGTGTGAAATTTGAAGAGGGTTGCATGCTTATTCCGCTTTCTTTGAGCGTTTTGTTTTTCAAAATCTTGAACCCTATGTGGGGGAGGTACCAGAAGAAATGGTGCGATCTCTACCATATTTGTAACATATCTTGTGTTGATAGAAACATTGAGATATGCCAAGTCTGAATGGAATCGGATGTTAATTTCGCGTTCTATGAGTTCAAAATGTTGACCCTTTGTGGGGGAGGTACAAAAAGGAGTGGACCGATAAATCTCAATTTTACACCAGATCTTGGGTTAATTAAAATATTATGATGTTTGAAATTTGAAGATAGCTGAATGCTTATTTCGGATTTTATGATCGTTTTGGTTATTCAAAATTTTGACCCTTTGTGGGGGAGTCACCAGAAGAAATGGTCCGATCTCTACCATTTTTATAACAGATCTTGTGTTGATAGAAATATTGAGAAGTGCCAAGTCTGAATGGAAACGGATGTAACTTTCGCGTCTTACGAGCTTCATTGATATTCAAAATTTTGACTCAAAAAGGAGTGGACGGATATAATTCATCTTCACAACATACCTTGGGTTAATAAAAATACTCTGAGGTGTAATTAGAAGGCAAACGAACTCTTACATCACATTTTATAAGAGTTAGAATTATTCAAAATTTTGACCCTTTGTGGGGGAAGCACTTGATGGAGTGAACAGAATTTTCGCACCTGATCTAGTACTGATGGAAATATTAGGATTTGCACAGTTAAAGCAAAATCGGATTATCCTTTCTCTTTCTGTGCAGTAAATTTCCACGTTTTGTGGGGGAGATACAAGAGGCAGTGGACCGATATATTCCATCTTAACACCACATTTTGGGTTAATAAAAAATTGGGAAATATTGGGATATTTGAGACAATTGGACTATTGCATCACATTTATAAAATTTATAAATCTCAAAATTTTAACCCTTTGTGGGGGAGGTACTTGATGGAGTGGACCGAGTGGTTCCTTTTTGCACCTGACCTAGAACTGATGCAGATATTAGAATTTGCAAAGTTGGAGCAAAATCTGATTATCCTTTCTCTCTCTCTCTCTCTCTGTGCAATAAAATATTTTCTTTTAAAATTTCGAACTTTTGTGGGGGAGATATCAGTAGAAATGGTCCGATATTGCCCATCTCCGAACTCGATCTAAGTTTGATAATACTCCCTTCGAGAGTTATCGTGCTCACCAACCGGACGGACGGACATAGCTAAATCGACTTCAAATATCCTGAAACGGATTTGGCCCAAAGAGACCTAGGCTCTAAAACCATTATTTCGATGAGGCACGATTTGGCCGTATAAAATTATATATACCTTCTGTAGCCATATTGTATAATTAATTCGTCAAAAATCCAAATTAATTCGTCAGAGGTTGAGAGGCCATTTAAGATTATTGTTTAAAAATCCACGAAGGAAGTCTTAAAAACAATGACAACTATACAGGGTGAGATAAAATAAATGTCATTGAATGAAAGCAAAAAATGTCGGAAAGCAAAAAATGTCGGAATAAGTTTACATTTGTTCGAATTGGTCACATTTGGAAGAATTATGGCCTTCAAACGGCCAATGAAACCATCACACGCTGCCCGAATGTTGCTCTGCGGTATTTTGGCCCAGACACAAGAGTCCAACGGATTGGTATCCGGAGACTTTGGTGGCCATTGTGCGCTGGAAATGAAGCGATTCTTGGGTGGGGCGTGCTGAGTCCTGTTGGAATGTCCAAGGTCTGCGCCAAAATTTTTGCGTGCCCAATGCTTTTATACAACCTCCAGAATATTCTCGCGATAATATTCGGCAATTTTTCTGATGCCACGGTCGATTAATACGAGCGGAGAGCGACCATCGGCCGTTATGGCGGCCCACACCATCACCATGGCCGGCGCTTGAGTTCTGGTGGCCAACCAAAGGTGCATTTTCAGCGGACCTCTTTAGCAAGTAAACACGATCATTTTGTTCGTTTACAAACTGGTGGACAATGAGTGTTTTCTCATCGGAGAGAAAGAAAACCAAATTCGGCAGTTCACCACTCGGCCAAGCGAAGCAACTCTTTAGCTCTTTTGAGTCTGTTTTCTTTCTGTTGCGGTGTAAGTTTTTGCACTTTTTTGAATTTAATGGCCTTACCCCGAGCTCATTTTTGAATATTTGCCGAATGGAATATTGCGATATGTTCACCTCACGAGCCATTTTTCGACCACTGCGACACAGTTTTCGATCAAGTCGCTCCTTTACTTTTCGAACCATTTCTGCTGATGTTGCTGTTTTCTTCGCTACGCTACCGGTAACGAGCGGTGGTACGAGACACAAATTTATTCAGATTTAAATGCTGGAGTGCTCTAATGATAGCCACTTGTTGTATTCCAGCCAAACATAAAGAAATCACACTATCACGCCTGAATTCCATTACGAATAACTTTCTGGAAAATTCACACCAAAATTCTTTTGTACGCTTGTAAACAATATAATGAACTGTCACTGGAATAATTTTAACAGCTGTCGGACGAGTGGCTTAGAAATGACAGCAGTATGAAATTGGTTGCAGTTTTTTCATCTCAGCCTGTATTTTTTAAAAAACTACAATTATGGAAATGAAAGATCATGAAAAATATTCTTTAAAAATTTCACTTCATTTGGAGTAAAAGGACATTAAAATGAATTCGTCAAAAGTCCGCGATGTAAAATATTATTTAAAGATCCACGAAAGTCTTGAAAGCAATGGCAAATATATTTCATAAATATATAATATATTTGAAAGTCCCTTAAAATCCACACTGATACAATCCTCCAAAAAATCCATTAATTTAAATATTTTTAATTTATTTTTCGTAAATTTAAAATATTACAAGAGTTTTATTTCCTTTATAATTTTGTTGTGTTCGTTTAATACTAAAAAAAAGAGAACAAATATTTAAAAATTAAAAACATTAAAGTGTCTCAGACACATATGTATGTATGTATGTAGTAAGTTGTTGGGATTTTGTTTAAAGATTTAAATGTTTTCTTTTTTGTTTTTTTTTCTAAAAATACATATATATTTGATGGGCGTGTGGGTGTAATAATATTTAGAAATATGCGTTTATGTTTTAATATAAAGTTAAAGCGAAACTTGAATTTTTAATATATTACAAAAGTTGAATTCTTAATTTCAAGTTATTGTTGTTGGGTTCTTCATGAAAGCTAAAATATATAAAATGGGTTTCCTAGATTAAAAAACAATATATGCACGTACGTAATCAATTTTGTTTCTTCGCCTTTGCAGTGATTCTAGTGATTCAAAATTAAAACAACTCAAATTCAATACTAATAAATAGCAACTACAAACTATATAGTAATGTAAAATAACAAAGGTTTTTTTTTAAATTAGAAAAAATTTTATAATAATAAAAGAAAAGAAAAAAAAAAAACAAATGTGTTTAACAACTCTTAAAGAAAATGGGGGCTGAAATTGAACGGGGAAGCGTTAATATTTTGTTTTTAAAAAACTAATATAGACTTCAAATAAAACAAAAAAAAAACCTGAATTCATTATAACTTGAAAATAACAAAATTCCTCTCGCTCTATAGAATTTAAAAACTATAAACTAAAATAATTTAATTAAAAATCGAAAACAGCATTACAGTGTGTTTTTTAAAAACGTTGTTGCCAGGCCAAACCAGCAGCTAATTTTAAAACACTATTTGACAAAGTATCCAAGTTGAGGGTATCCCCACTAAGCTCAATTAATTGTGATCGCTCGCGACTAAAGAAACGTTGTTTTGCGCCGCATTGTGGCACCAGTGCCACCAAACGTGGATTATTGCAACATATCCAAATTTCATCATTCCTATCGTTTGTTACAACAATATGTTCTCCGGTATTGATGGCATTTTTCACCTGCCTAAATGTGTTTGGTAATGGTTGTTGTTGCAGAATACGATACGTCGGCTGGCTATGCGATATTGTACAGGCCAGGGTTAATAGTTCAGGTGGCGTTTTTACATTGCCATTTGGATTAAGATCACGAAATTGATAAAAGATAATCATATTATTCTCTTCAATATCCTGACTCGGAAAATGGACAGATCCTAAATGTTTACCCAATGGGATTTCGAGATCATAATTCATTAGAACATCCCCGCTGCGATGATCCCAAATGGTTATTTGACTATCGCCCAAGCCGAGAAGTTTATCATCTGGAAAATAATAGGAAATTTTTTATTTTTTTTAACATTTAAATGATCCCACCCACCTTTCATACACTCCAAATAACGTATTGTGTGACGCATACTTTTAAATTCTCTAATACTAGCCAGGGTATCCAACTGCGGTGTTATGGAGTATTTACACAGGCCGGAACGTGTTTTACCCAAAAGATTTTCCTGAGGCCATGTTATGATGAAATAGCGTGAGTCCACCAAAGTTGTATAGTTGACACTTTTGACATCACTGTAAAAAAAAGAAATTTAGAAAAAAACAATAAGGAAAAGTCGGGTGAAGCCGACTATATGATACCCTACACCACTAGGCATATTTAGTACAGCTCTCGTAAAAAAATAAAGAATTAATTTGAAGTAGATCATACCCCCTATCAACAATTGGCTTTAGAGCAGTTATAGTTTGGTTCCAGAAGGAACTAATGAAGGGTGAGGTGAAAAAACAGCAACCAACTTCAGACTGCTGTCATTTCTTAGCCACTCGTCCGACAGCTGTTAAAATTATTCCAGTGACAGCACATTATATTGTTTATAAGCGTACAAAATAATTTTGGTGAGAATTTTACAGAAAAAAAGCTATTCGTGATGGAATTCAATCGTGATAGTGTGATTTCTTTATATTTAGCTGGAAAACCACAGGTGACTATCGTTAGAGCACTCCAACATTTCGGCAAAATGTGAATACATCTTTTGTGTCTCGTATCATCACTCGTTACCGTGATACTGGTAGCGTAGCTCGACGCCAAGAAAATTGACGGAAGAAAACAGCAACATCAGCAGAAATGGTTCGAAAAGTAAAGAAGCGACTTCATCGAAACCCGCGTCGCAGTGGCCGAAAAATGGATGGTAAGCTGAACATATCGAAATATTCCATTCGGCAAATATTGGAAAATGAGCTCGGGGTAAAACCATTGAAATTCCAAAAAGTGCAAGAACTTACACCATAACAGAAAGAAGATAGACTCAAAAGAGCCAACAAGTTACTTCGCTTGGTCGAAAATGGTAAATTGTCGAATTTGGTTTTCTCTCTCTCCGATGAGAAAACATTCGTTGTCCAGCAGTTTTTAGACAAACAAAATGATCGTCTTTACTTGCCAAAGAGGTCAGCTGAAAATGTGCACCTTCGGTTGGCCACCAGAATTCAGGCGCCGGCCATGGTGTTGGTGTGGGCCGCCATAACAGCCGATGGTCGCTCTCCGCTCGTATTTATCGACCGTGGCATCAGAATAAATGCAGAATATTATCACGAAAATATTCTGGATGTTGTATTAAAGCCTTGGGCACGCAAACTTTTTGGCCGCAGACCTTGGATATTTCAGCAGGACTCAGCACCATTCCACTCAGCACACGCCACTCAAGAATAGTTAAAAAATGAGGTTCCTCGCTTCGTTTCCAGCGCACAATGGCCACCAAAATCTCCGGATACCAATCCGTTGTACTATTATGTCTGGAATACTTTGGAAAGCAAGGTTGGCACTTAAAAATACCAAAGTGTCGATCAACTCAAGCAAGCGCTTCACCGGGAATGGGCCAAAATACCCAAAGCAACATTCGGGCAGCGTGTGGGTCATTGGTCGTTTGAAAGCCATAATGCTATTTCCGACATTTTTTGCCTTCATTCAATAAAATTTAAAAAAAAATGTAAAAATTATGGCGTTTGACTTGTTTGCTGTTATTTTATCTCGCCCTGTATGAGGAAGCTATACCCAAATCTGAATCGATCTCGATAAAATTTCACAGAGGTATTTCAGGGCTATGTCTGATATCTGGTACCAAATATCATTGTTGTCGAATGCATATTACGAATGTAAGGGACTTAAAACCCCAAATCAGATGAAACATATATATGGGAGCTATAACTATATCTGAACCGATTTTCTACAAATTTTATGTACTTGCTTTTAGACTGAATTCGGTCGGATGTACCAAAATTCAGGTAATTTGGACTTATATTGACCATTTGGTGCACAATTTACCCGAAATCGGTTGAAAATATATATGGGAGCTATATCCAAATCTGAACCGATCTTGATAAAATTTCACAGAGGTATTTTCGAGCAGTATCTGATGTTCGGTACCAAATATCATTCTTGTGGAATGCATAGTACGCATGTGAAGGACTTAAACCCCCAAATCGGATGAAACATATATATATAGCTATAGCTTAATCTGAACCGATTTTCTCCAACTTTGATGTACTTGCTTCTAGAGTGAATTCGGTCGGATATGTAAGAATTCAGGTCATTTGGACTGATAATTGCATTTGGTGCACAATTAACCCGAAATCGGTTGAAAATATATATGGGAGATATATCGAAATCTGAGCCGACCTTGATAAAATTTGACAGAGGTATTTTCGAGCAGTATATGTCCGTTACCAAATATCATTCTTGTGGAGTGCATATTACGCATGTGAGGGACTTAAACGCCCAAATCGGATGAAACATATATATGGGAGCTGTAGCAATATCTGAACCGATTTTCATTAAATTTGATGTACTTGCTTCTAGATTGAATTCGGTGGGATGTACCAAAATTCAGGTCATTAGGACTGATATTGGCTATATGGTGCACAATTAACCCGAAATCGGTTGATGATATACATGGAAGGTAAATCTAAATCTTATTCGATTATCACCAATTTCAATAGGGTTCGTCCTTGGGCCAAACAAATATTGTTTGGAAAATTTCATCTCAATCGGATAATAAATGCGACCTGCATTTTTTTCACAAGAATACATGTAGGGACGGACAAACGGACTGACATGCCTAAATCGAATCAGAAAGTGATTCTAGGAAGATCCTCAAAAGTAACTATGGGTCTATCTCGGTTCCTTCTCCATGTTACAAACAAATACACAAAGACATAATACCCCTACTTCCAGGTGGTGTAGGGTATAAAAATGAAATCCTTAATGTCCACTCTTACCTTTGTATGTTATCCAATTGTATGGAATTGCTCTTGGCAATCATTTCCTCATCATGATAGTAGTAGATATTAATGTAAATGGATAATAGATTACATTCACGATGATTTTTGGGTAGGGGGCGGGCCCGCATCTCCACATAAATGGGTGTGGAATTGTGTAGACAAATACGATTGCCAAAGGGTACAACAATTTCAAAATCTAATGAAGAAAAAAAAGAAGGTTTTATTAAATTACTACCAAATATTCCCCATTGTTTGCCAGACCTACCATGTGTCAATCGCTTTAATTCTCCCAACAGCAGCCAGTCACTTTCGCCATTTGAAGTGGGGGAAAATTTGAAATTTTTATAAATTTCTTCAATTTTGGGCGAATTTGACGACATATACGGCGAATTATGGTTGTAAACTGGTGTGGTTAGGGCATTTGCCAGTTTTGGACATTTCCAAAAACTTATTAAACGTTCCTGTACAACAATGAGTACCTCAACTTCATAGTAAATATATAAAACTGCACCGTATTCGTGTTTGATTGGATTACGCATTTGATGGGTAGCTGTTGGAAAGCCATAGAGATAGGTAACACCTCCAGCACCAGTGGTTAGAGGCTCACATTGTGTCCAGTTGTCCTTAGTTTCAACTGGTGTGGTCGATGCCAAGGTAATGGGTGAAGAGGATGGAATGATAATCGCCGTTTGACCAAGTCTTTCATCATACGAATTTGTTGTTGAGGATACAACAACGTTTTCGTTTTCTTGAAAGTTCGAAGAAGAGGGATGGGTGACTGGTGTGGGATGGGCCATCACATTTAAAACTTCACGATCTTCATGGGAAGTTGTGGCCGGGGATAGTGGCTTAACTGCTGAGGGTGGTGGTGTTATAGAAGTTGACGCCGTTTTATATTCCTTTGGTTGTAGATTTTGGGGTTTGGCGATTAATTTAAGACCTAATTTAGATCTCAAGTTTTTACCTCCCGTACCATTTCCACCTCCACGTGCCCGGCCCAGAAAAGACATACGCCGCTTGGAACGTTGCAATAATGCTGTGGCCTTTGCCATAAGACGGGTTCGAGCCGAATTTTGGTTACACAATATTTCCAAATCACTTGTTTCCGTTTGGGCATTGCAAAAACTTTTGGTAACATTTTCACGTTTCTCTTTTTTGTTGGCTTCCTTGGTTTTATTTCCAGAGTGATTGGCAAGAGATTTTTTCAATGACACTTCCTCATCCTTGATTTTCTTGGTGGCGACATGCTTATCTTTTTTCGATGTAGATTTAATGAAGATGATTTTTCTAGCCCTCAGCTCACGTTTTGGTGTGCTACGTAGGCTAAATGTCTTAGATCTACGCATCTTAAGCATACTTCTGTTGTTGTTGTTATTCTTGTTTTTCTTTGTGATATTATTGACGACTTTTAAATTTTCATTTGAATTGTTGTTGACCACCAATTGTGTTTTGATTTCCACCTTTGAAATGCCTTTTTTGAGCGGTGAAGTACTGGGAGTTGTTTCATTTGTTGCATCTTTTTTGTCTGAAGAGTTTGTCCCCTTGTCCTTGGTACTCTCCAATGTTTGTACTATAAAAATACTGGGTTTGGTTTTACGCGACTCCACCAAGGCCGCTTGCAATTTATGTTTCATAAACAGTGAAATGGTGGGTGTTAATGCTCCATCGTGGCCATCATCAATACTGTTATTACTGCAGCTACAGAGGTCAATTGAAGCTTCTGGTTTAAACAGATCTTTGGTTTTGAAACATTCATTGACCATCGATGGACTAGGATTCTCAATTTTAATGGAATTGCTATGCTTCTCCTCGGCAATATTGGGATCACTTGTTGCCTGATTGGAACGCTGAGATCTTAATGCTTTATTGTACTTGTTAAGCCATTTAGGAGATGAAAGTTCTTTAGATCTCCCACCAATATTCAATTCATCTGAAGTTGTTATATTTTCAGTCTTAATATCCTTTGTGTTTATGGAATATTTCTCATTTTTCTTCAAGTCATGAGTATCCGCAAGAGCAAGTATCTTTTTCTTGGCTTGGCGCATTAATGATTCTCGTGGTGGCAAAGAATTGTCCTCAATTGATTTACTTTCCAATTCCGATACTTTTTCTAGGGTATTTGTTGTGTTTGCTATATGACACAGAATTTTTATTTGTGGCTCATTTTGAGTGGTGTTGACTATTGGCGGCATTGATGACTGGGATTTTATGGGGAGTTTTTTACTTAAACCCTTTGTGGAGGCAGTTGAATGCGTCAAAGACTCAGAGGCTTGAGAATTGGAACTGAAATAGAAAGGTGAAGGGTTAGGATTTTATTAATGGATTTTAAGAAAATATTTGGTCTGTTCCAGAATTGCAAGAATGTAAAACTTTTTACTACGATAACCGATTTTTCTTTTATGGAATCGGAAAAATTGCAAAGCTTGCAGATTCTTGCATGCATGTTCTAAAACAATTTTAAAGTGCGAAAAAAAAAAAAGAATTTTTTCAAGCTACCAAATCAAGGATTGTGGGGTTTTTAAAAAAGGTATTTGCAACTTACCATTTCGACTTAAGTGATTCAGCTTCATTACGCTCTGCCTTCTTTTGCTCTTTGACTTGTTGACGTTTATGTTTCAACGACTTTTGTGGGGTTTCTTCTTTGGCATTCTTTTCTTTGCGTTCCTGCTGCTGTTGGCGCAGTACACGCATAGATCGTCTTGCCATATTACATTGGGCCAATTCAGCCACGGCATTGGCCATGGCTGTGGCTGTTGACATTCCCGTTAAACCCAAATAATTACAAAATTCATGCTGTTCATGATATACTCCTTCATCGAGATCATTTTCCTGATCCTGATTATTGGTAGTGGCGGCATGATTCTCCTCCTCATGCAGCTCCAGCTTGGCCTCAATTTTCACTTTGTTTTCAATTTCTTTTTTTGAATTTATTTGAGATTCCAATGATAGTTTAAGAGGCTTAGCAATCGAATTGAATTTATTGTTCAATACATTAAAATCCTCTGTGGGCTGAAGAGGAGGATTGGGAGAATATTTTGATGGCAATGTAGGTGTCTTAAATAATTGCTGACCATTTTTTGGCTCAATTTCTAGGAGTTTTACATCAGCCTCAAATTTATTTTCTTCCTTTATGACATCGTCGGGAAGTTTTGCTATTGGCTTATCGATTTCTCTGTTAAGCCGGTTTAACCGAAAAAACGAATCAATCTTTTCACTTGATGCCAATGAACTTAATTTTTTCATTTCTTTGGGGTTTTGTATGGCCTTCGTTCTCTGGACATTGTTGTGGGGGTTCGGTGGACCTTTCATCAATTGCATATGTGTAGGTACATCTTGGCTATTCGCTTCTTCAGAACTACTGGGGCACAATAGTTTTTCATGTATGTGCACTTGGGGGCCACAACCTCCGCCACCGCCTCCTCCACCACCAATTCCTCCTTTGGGAAAACGTTTATGCGCAGTTGTGGCAATTTTTTTGGAGTTTTGAAAACAATCATTATCCGATGAAGATGTTGCTGGAGGAGAGGTAGAATTCTGATTTCTTTTATTATTGGAATCTTTGACAAAACGTTGAGACTTTTTTATTTCCCCCATCTCTGGATTTGTAACCACATTTGGTTTACAACGCCTTTGTTGAAGTTGTTGTTGGGCCACAGCCGATGTGGATGGTCTCTCATCAGCGTGTTTAAGATTTTTATTAGATTCACTAGTACTACTGCTAGCGCTGGATGCACTTGTGGCTGTTGTTTCATCTTGTTGCTTTAGTGAGGAATGCCCAGCATCCGCACCGCCGGCACCAAGTCTTTTATTCTTCTGGGCCATATTCATATTATCGATTATCATTTGACGAAATATACCAAAGTCATATTGTTTGTTCGGAGCTTGTCGTTTATTTTTCTGTTTGGTCAGCTCAAGCTTTCGTTGTTCCTCTAAACGTTTGAATTCCTCATCGAAGAGAGCAACATCTTCCACATCGCTGTAGTCGTCTTCACAGCACCAACCTTGGATTTTCTCAGCCAATGTCATTTGTGGATTACAGGCGGTTATCATGGCCAGCTGGCGCTCAAATGAGTCGGCCGGTAAGGTATTTTTCAGCAAAGGTGGCCTTGGAGGATATTTACCACCACCGCCACCTCCACGGTTTTGTTGGGGGTTAGATGGTGAGCTAACGGGAAATTCACTTGTCGATTCGGTTGAACATTTGTTGGCCGAGGCATTTGCAGCAACGCATTTGTAATTTTGCCGTTGATTGAAATTCAATTGGAATTTTGTATTGATTTGTTGACGCTTCTGTTTTTGAGATATTGTTGTGGAATCGGAATTGATTTCAACAATTTGATCCGGTGGTGTTTTCAAATGGGAGGGTGATACAGCTGAAATAAAAATTGAGTTTTAGTCAGATTTGCAAATAAAAAATTTAAATTAGAGGGAGTAAAAGAAAAATAGGGAGGAGAAATGGGTTAATTAAAGATGGGGAAAATGGAGTAAAAAAGGAAACGTTAAAAGGAGTACATGCACTCAAGTGTAAAGAGATTAAGTTGAATGTTTTTCTATAGCTTCGAAAATCGCAGAAGCGTGATTGTTATTTGAGAAAATATTGATGCACTTGACTGTTGTCCAAGGTGGTGTAAATGGGCTGGTCTGAACTTTTTTTTCGAAGAAAAGAATGAAATATTTTAATCTTAAAAACCATAATACCACTCACCTTCACCAGATAATCCATCATCCTGCCGCCTCTTACGTTTACTCGGCGTATGTGGATTATAATCTATGGCATTACAATTGTCACCCTTTTTAGGTGTTTCTTCCAAATTTGATTTGAACATTATTTGACCATCAACTTCCTCGACATCTTCATCATCAACTTCAATGGCTTCAACAACACCTTCAGAGTCCTCACGATACTGATGATCAACCTCTGCGGACAAATGACGTTTCAAGTTTTCACGACTAGATACATAAACATCTACTTCATCTTTTGGTTCATTTTCAATGGGATTTTCTAAAGGAACTACTTCTTCTTCGTCGTCGAAACCTTTAAAATCTTCCATGTCATCTGAACTTATGCTGGTGGCTGCCACAACATCACGCTCAGCCTCATTGTGCAATGTTGTGGGATGTGGTGCTTCAACATCATCATTGCAGGAAATTGTGGGTATGTGTTGATGCTGTTGCACCTCCGGGCTAGTGTTGTGACCACCATCTTCACTTGTTTGCATGCAATCCTGTGTGACATTTTGTATGGGACTGTGACTAGTGGTTGCCTCTGGCATTGTTATTGAAGCATTATTGGACGGCAGCTGATGGTGATGATGGCTTTGCTGCAACTCTTGTGTCTGCTGCTGTGGATGCTGATGGTAATGTGATCCAACTGTTGGTGGCGTAGTGGGGGTTATGTAGTCACTGCAATTTTCTTCTATTGGAACTGTGTTGGTGGCGTAGACAAACTCATTTGCCAGCATACGAGGCATTTCTGAAAGAAAATGCCAATATCAAATTGTTTAAATACAATTCGTTACTTCACGACTCTTATCAATTTACCTAAAAATCAGTATCTCTGCCGTCTTCCAGATTGTTGTACTTGGGAATCTCCTTCTATGTTCGTTGGTGGTGGCGCCTTTTTCTTTACAATCCAATAGAATTTCTTAATGCTTTTCTTATTGTACAGTTTTATCTTTTTCGATTTCCAACAACAATTTCAATATTTTCTAATTAATTTTTTGTCTGAAAAACTCCTAATTTTTGTAATTTTTATATGGTTTTTTTAGATTTAGCCACAGAAAAACAGAAAATGTCTTAATATTTTTCTCTTGTTGTTAGTTTAGTTGTTGTAAAATATTACTTGACAACAGGGTGATTCGTATAAAATGAAAATTGCTTGAGTAGTTAATTGAAGTGGAACAGATAAAAAGCGTCGGCGAAAAAGCGACGCTAGAGCATTTTTCTGTAAAAATATCATTGGAGAGAAGGCCATCTGACAAATAATATTTACTATGGTTCAAAAGGCCACAACAAATCACCAAACCTGGATTTAAAAGACAAATTTTTAGACCGAAAGATTTATGTATAATTCGTATTTTTTAAAAATGTTTTATTGCAACCCAACAGTATTATAAGGTCCCAAACGTCCTACAACATAATTTGCTATGCCATAAAAATTATAACCTTGGTCTTTTAAAAAATATTTTGCATATCCCAATATTATTTATCATACACAAGTGGAAGATAGTAAGATGTTCTTATTAGAACCTCAAGTGTACATGAACATCATGATTCAACATTCCAACAATGATTAAGGACAGTAAATCAGAAATCGAATAATCTTAATTAACAATTGAAGCTAGTTTTAGTTTATTTTCAATTCTTTGAATTTTTTTATTTATTTGTGAAATTCCTTAATTTTTTACAATTACAATACAACTTTGTAATTTTCCTCTTGAGTATACAAATATTTGAGAAATAAATTCCTTATTTTTTTGGTCCTCTGGTTCCCCTCCTCTCAACCCTTGATAACAGCAATGGGCCTTAGTTTAATGCATTTTTTACTAATACCAGCAGCATGACATGTATCGACAACATCCGTTACATCTTTGTACGACTCTGGAGCTTCTTCCATAACCAACTTGGGTGAAGCTACACGTATGGCAATACCCAAATCCTCTAGTTTTTCCAAAACATCTTTATAGTCAAGATTTCGCCTTGATTTGGCTCGAGACAAAGCACGACCGGCCCCATGGCATGTAGAACCGAATGTCTCTTGCATACCCTTTTCGGTACCAGTCAAAACATATGAGCACGTACCCATGGTACCACCTACCAAAACTGGCTGACCGGTCAGTTGAAAATCTACAGGAATAAGAGGATGATGGGGAGGGAAGGCGCGAGTAGAACCTTTGCGATGCACCAACAACTTCTTCTCTTTGCCATCAACAATGTGATTTTCAATTTTGGCAATATTGTGCGACACATCATAGATAACGTGCATGTCCAAGTCGTCGGGTGTGGTTTGGAATTGTTTGGCAAATGCTTGGCGCGTCAAAAATGTCATAGAACTTCGGTTGACCCAGGCAAAATTGGCAGCAGCTGCCATGGCTTTGAGATAATCTTGACCCTCGGGAGAGTTGATACGAGCACAGGCCAGCTGGCGATCGTTGGTTTCAATGTTATCTCGTTTCATGGCCTTTTCCATTTGTACCAATGCATCAGTGGCCACTTGATGGCCAAAGCCTCTGGAGCCGGAGTGAATCATAACACATACCTGACCCTTTTCCTCGATGCCCATTTTGGAGGCACTCCACTTGTCATAGATTTCATCGACAATTTGTATTTCAGCATAATGATTACCAGCCCCCAAAGTTCCCAGCTGTGGCAAACCTCGTTTCTTGGCTCTCATGCTTACTTTGGAGGGATCTGCATTCAACATGCGACCATATTCTTCACAATGTTCCTTATCCTCAGCCCAGACATAGCCTTCACGTAAACTCCAGTCCATACCCATCTCCAAAGCTTCTTCCAAATCATGGGCATTCATGGGAATAATACCTTTAGAGCCCACACCCACGGGAATATGATCAAACAGACTTTGGGCCAATTGTTCCTTGACGGGTTGGACATCTTTTTCAAAAAGGTTGGTTCTCAGCAAACGTACACCACAATTGATGTCAAAACCCACACCGCCAGGGCTAACAATTGAATTGGGATCATCCATATCAAAGGCAGCCATATTACCGATGGCAAAACCATAGCCAGAGTGGATGTCAGGCAAACCAATTGAACGCCCCACAATGCCGGGCAGGGCAGCAACATTTGCAATTTGTTTAACACCTGGCAGGAAACCACCCACGGCCCCTGGCCGACAGGCATTCTTCAATTCTTCCAACATCAGCCTTTCCAACTTTGCATTGACATAGAAACATCCTTCCACATTCATGTTGGGTTGGAAGCCCTTCTTGATACGCCAACAGCAGTCGCTGATCTTCTCCAGATATTTCAGCTCTTCTACGTAAGGTCGAACTACCATTTTGTGTGAATTTGTTGCGACTGTTGTAAATCGATTATTAATAGATTTAACAGATATTTTTTGTAAAATCCACAATATTTTTCTAGAATTTCATCCAAATAGTTCGGATGCCGGCGTTCAAGTACAAATACATATATAGAACATGCAAACTATTTGACATTTGCCAATAGGTGGGATTACAGGGTGTTTCATTTCATTGAGCAGAATATCCATTGACAGAGAAACAGTGTTGCCAGTGGAGAGAAAACAGTATCTAGTAAAGGGCATTTGACTACAAATATTCTTTTAAATGAAATAGTGTAATGAGGGGTTTGGACATAAAATTTCTTAGATAATTCGGTTGCCGGCGTTCAATTACAAATACATATATACAACATGCATACTATTTGGCATTTGTCAATAGGTAGGATTACAGGGTGTTTCATTTCATTGAGAGGAATAAGCATTGTCTGAGAGACAGTGTTGCCAGTGGGGAGAAAACAGCATCTGGTAATGGGTATTGCGACGACAAATATTCTTTTAAAGGAAATAGGGTAATGAGGGACTTGGGCATAACATTTCTTATTTCTTTCATTCCAAAGAACATTAAATCATGGATTATTAAGACCATTTCTGTATACACCATTGAAATTTCTAAGCTAAATTTTATTTCATTCGACAAACGAGTCCATAGTGGAAGTGGCAACATTGGGAGTTTGTCAAGTTTGTCAAATTAATATATATAAAATGTTTCCAGCTGCAGATATTTAAAAAAAGTGTTTTATATAGGTGCCTCATAAGTACTATTTATAACCGTGGGTATTAACATCTAACTGGTTAACAATAAATTATTGTCAATTTCACAACAGCAACAAATGCCTTGAAGAATGAATCATAAATAGTTCTATTATCAGTCTAAAACAAATTTTTATTTACTTATTATTTGTAGATTTTGTACAATTGCATTACATATTAGTAATTTACTTAATTAGTATACATACATATATTCCGATAAATACAATACCCTTCCGTCCACTTCCCCTCAACCTTTGATCACAGCAATGGGTCTAAGTTTAATACATTTCTTACTAATACCGGCAGCATGGCATGTATCAACAACATCGTTAACATCTTTGTATGCTTCGGGAGCCTCCTCCATAACAAGCTTGGGAGAAGCCACACGAATAGCAATACCCAAATTTTCTAGTTTCTCCAAAACCTCTTTATAGTCCAAATTGAGTCTTGATTTGGCTCGGGACAAAGCTCTACCGGCACCGTGACAGGTGGAACCGAATGTCTCTTGCATACCCTTTTCGGTACCAGTCAAGACATAAGAACATGTTCCCATAGTGCCGCCCACTAAAACAGGCTGTCCAGTTGATTGATAATCTGCAGGGATGAGGGGGTGATTGGGTGGGAAGGCGCGAGTGGAGCCTTTGCGATGTACCAACAACTTCTTTTCTTTGCCATCAACAATGTGATTTTCAATTTTGGCAATGTTGTGCGATACATCGTAGATAACATGCATATCCAAATCTTCGGGGGTCGTTTCAAATTGTTTGGCAAATGCTTGGCGGGTAAGGTATGTCATGGAACTACGATTTACCCAGGCAAAATTGGCAGCAGCTGCCATGGCCTTGAGATAATCTTGGCCCTCGGGAGAATTGATACGAGCGCAGGCCAGCTGGCGATCGTTAGTTTCAATGTTATCCCGTTTCATGGCCTTTTCCATTTCGACCAATGCATCAGTGGCCACTTGATGGCCAAAACCTCTGGAGCCGGAGTGGATCATGATGCATACCTGACCCTTTTCCTTAATACCCATTTTAGAAGCGGCAAACTTATCATAAATTTCATCCACAATTTGAATTTCCGCATAGTGATTGCCAGCCCCCAATGTTCCCAGCTGTGGCAAACCTCGTTTTTTGGCTCTCAAACTGACTTTAGAGGGATCTGCACCCGACATGCAACCCTGTTCTTCACAATGTTCTTTATCTTCAGTCCAGGCATAGCCTTTACGCAAACTCCAATCCATACCCGTTTTTAAAGCATCTTCCAAATCAGCAGCATTCATGGGTAAAATACCCTTGGACCCAACTCCCACGGGAATGTGATCAAACAGACTTTGGGCCAGTTGTTCCTTTACGGGTTGTACATCTTTTTCAAAAAGATTGGTTCTCAGCAAACGTACACCACAATTAATGTCGAAACCCACACCGCCAGGACTAACCACTGAATTGGGATCATCCATATCAAAGGCTGCCAGATTTCCAATAGCAAAACCATAGCCAGAGTGGATATCAGGCAAACCAATTGAACGTCCAACAATACCAGGCAGGGCAGCAACATTTGCAATTTGTTTAACACCAGGCAGGAAACCACCCACAGCTCCAGGCTGACAGGCGTTCTCCAATTCCTCGAACATCAACTTTTCCAACCTTTCGTTTACATAGAAACATCCTTCGACGTTCATGTTGGGTTGGAAACCTTTCTTGATTCGCCAACAGCAATCGCCGATCTTTTCAAGATATTTTAACTCTTCATCGTAGGTTCGAACAACCATTTTGTACGACTTTTCTTATACTGAAGTTGTAAATCGCCTTTCGATGAATTTATTTTGTAATATTTCACCATGTCTTCTGAAATTTCATTCCAATATCAGGATTTGCCCGTCTAATTGTGAAGTACTAACACACTTACATATATAAGATGCATTTAATTTCACAATTAAACATTTTGATGTTTACAGGGTGTTTCACATAAATTTGTTTTGTTAGCAAAGTAACGGTGTTGCCAGATAATTTCTATAGGGAGGTCAAACGGTAAATTGTACAAGGAAAGGAAAGCAGCTGCTAAATACAATTTCCGGTTTTTTGGAATCAAAATACCCATTGTGCAGGAATGAAGACATATAAAGTTGATGCAAATAAGGATGATGTAACACTTCATTAGTCCTACTTCCATCATATATCCTTATAAAGTCTTAGAATCATGTAGTGCCGATTGATTACATTTAAAAAATGCAATAGCCCTGTTGGGGACTACAATTGGATAATAGTTCCTTGTTGATACCCATGGTACAATAAAAGGGTAGAACGCTTCTTAAAACTATAGAAATACAGTTCTGATGCTATACCCGCTTCCTATCGGAAATATTCGATTGTCAATGAAATTCAAAAAACTATAAAAACTATAATTCTTAGTCCTAAAGCAAGGTAATTTTCCGTATTCGTTGTTATTATATTCAATACAAGTAAGTTAAACATAATTTTTGAAAATGTGTGTTTTCAAGCGCTGATCGATCTTGTATTACTTTCCACCAAAAAATGTCCATATGATTGTCGCTTCAAATTGTTGTACTTTCTGTTACCTTATGTTAATATACCACGTTACTTACCTTTAATTTTTGTTTCCAAAATAAAACAAGAAATTCAAATATATCTTAGCCTTCTTATTACAAATGTTTATTTTCTTTTTTCACTTTTATTTTTTTGGTATATATATTTGTTGTAGATATTTTCATTATATCATTAAATGGGGGTACACATTCATTTAATATATTTTTCACATTTATTTATCATTTTTATTTATTTATTAATTTAATATCAGACGATTGAACTTATAATGTGTTTACATATCTGAATCCTAGTGAGTTTCCACTTTAAAAACATACCTAAACATCATGAAGAATACAGGTAGTCGCATCGACACAGCTGCTGGGACAATTGAATGTCAAACCAAATTTGCAATTAGAAATTTTGAATGAAAAATTATTCAAATTCGTAAAAATTGTTGAAAAAATTATATCATAACAATCTCCGTTTGACGTCGTATAAAAAAACATATAAAAATCTACTTATTTTTGAAATAAAAACATTTTAAAAATGTTGACATATCAATGTCGCCAAGAGTTGATACATCTACCTTTATTCTTCTATCATGCTCCGAATGGTGTTGTGTAAGAAAACTCATAAAAATCTCCTTATTTAAAAAAAAAACATTTAAAAATTTTTGACATATCAATGTTCCTAAGCATTGATACATCTACCTGTGTTCTTCTACCATGGTCATATCTCAAAACCAGTCGATTTCTTTGAATGTACACGCAATAGGATTGATTGGAGAAATCCACTGGAAGTCGTATGTGTAAACATGCTTTAAATGAATTATTGTATAAACACCCAGTAACAGGGTGTTGATATTTGCGAATAAGTCCTGTACGTCGATTGCATTTCATGTGTCTTATATCAAACACTGAAAGTTTTATTGAAATAATATTTCATATTCTATTCCAAAAAAAAAAACAAAAAAAATTATTCTCTCCATCCACAATGTCTGACATAAGAGTTACCATGTTCTTTCTCATGTAACAGGGTGTTTACTATTTGTTTGATTTTACATCATACGTTACTCACGCATTGCATTTGATGTATGCATCTCAAATTGTTTAACAGGGTGTCTCATACAATTTGAAATAATAACTAAAAGTGGCAGCGTTAAAGGACATTATGATTTTATTTTAATGATAGTCTTTTGGAGTTTTTTTTTATCTGTTCAATGGTTATTATTACAGAGTTTTATGTTGAGAGGAGGGAAAGGGGACTTTTTTATTAGAAAATTGTTTCTTTTTGTTATTAATTAATGGAGAAAAGGCAAAGTGATAGCAGGTTTGTTTTGGGTATTTTGTTTTTTTCTGGAGGAGAAGAATAAAGCTTATATTTTGGGTTTGTTCTTTTTTTGGGAATATTATTATATGTGGCGTTTTGTTTTATGTTTGTAGATTTGGTGGAATGCAAAAGCGTTTTTTGAATACATTGTATTTAATTTAACAATTATATTGTATTTTTTCTGCTAGAATTTCTTTGGTAAGTGAGAAAACTTTACGTATGTATTAATTAAGCTAGTTATATTGTTCAAGCAAATTATAACATTGAAAAACAAAAAAAAAAAAAAAATAATTAGGCACAGTAAAAAATAGCTCATAATAAACTCCAATAAGGGCTTATTTCTAAAGGTGAGAATATAAAAAACTCTTTTGTCGACTGGATTAAGACATCGGCTGGTTTCTTCGTAGAGGAATAAGGGAGTTTTAGGTTGACTTAGTTCGATTTTGCTTCTTTGTTCTTTTCCGAAGTAGCCAGCTGATGATTTAAGTCAGTCTGGAAAGCGTTTTATGTATTCTCACCTTTAAGGCCACTTTTTTGTATGGAATTACCATGAAGTAACAATGCGTTAAAAGAAAGTAGCATCAAAGAGTGTCAGTGAAATTGTTTTTAATGTGATTTTTTTTATATGTATAAGTTGAATTTTTATTATATAAAAATGTTTTTTTTTTATTTTTTATATAAATTTCAATTATTATAATATTCAATTCGTTTAAATTTTTTGTATACCTTTTATGTTAAATATCCATGTATATTATTTTTTTTTTTTTATCAATATAAGGTTAAATAGACAAAATACAATTTTTATATATTTATATATTTTTTAATAATAAATCACGTTTAGGTTTGGGCCAGTGCAGCCCTTAGATTTTTTACTTGATATCGGGATATTTTCGCGAAAATCCCAAAACTAATTTCTCGCGTCGCTGCTTTACACATAACGAACTATCATGTAACTACGTTCTTCTCTTAGAAGTTTCCGATCGAATCTTGGAATGTTGTTCGAAATCAAATTCATCCAATATTTATAAAAAGATTTGGAAAGAGTTCATATATGAGAAATTGTCAACCTCTATAACATAGTTTGAATTTCTATATAATTTGATTGACATCCGCTACCATATTGAACACGTCCAATTCCCTTTCGTTGAGGAGTTTTCCATATAAAGAATTCGTGAAAATCTCTCTGGACGGTTGAATATCGCTAATTTTTTCATTGAAATCTGTCCTCACATATTGGGATAATGGGATTTGGGAGAGTGACACACATAAACGACGTTTTTAGCGTTACAATCAAGTCTGTAATTTACACAGCTCTATGAGATTTTCTAAAAATGAAAACATATAAGAAGCTTCGCATTGCTTATTAACATAAAATTATATGGGACAACGACGGCAGAAATAATGTGTGGCACTGAAAATGGTGAAGATCTCTCAGGACTGTTCGAATTCGGCAAATTTTTCAGTAAAATTTGACCTCTAATATTTCAAGTGACTATCAGAGCATCGCTGACATATCATCGGGATTTATAAACGTGACACACATTAAGAGCGTTTTTAGTGTCAGAAGCTACCGTTACCGTTGACCTGCATAGACAATTTTCTGACATAGACTGTAGTTCCCATTACGAACTCTAAAAACTAAATTTGAGACAACTCCGGTGAATAATGTCGTTAAAATCGTCAAAATACCGAATAGGGATGGTGCCCTTGCATGGGGCTATACGATATCGTGGACCGAAACGGAAACTGTGTTCAAATAAAAAAATTGTACAACTGGTACAAAATGGTACCATATTGCAAGTTCTGGAATACAGAAATTAATACCAATAAAACAATATATTTCCCTTAAACACTTGTTGTCCACATTCAGACTAGAGTACCCTTTTCCATGTGAACGCATTATTCTCTTTCATTTGAATATCGTATTTTTCTACGGAAAAATTACAGAAAATGTATTTTAGGTTTATAATATGTTTTGGAAATATATTTAAAAGGTATGTATAAGTGGTACAATACAGTACAATTTTCCAAGTTAATATAGTACCCTATTGCAAGTTCAGGAACACAGCTATTGTTTTATTTCCGTTAAATTCCAAAATCAGACTAGAGTACCCTTATTCATTTGAACGCATTATTCTCTTTCATTTGAATGCCTAATTTTTCTACGGGAAAATTACTAGAACTGTTTTGACGTTTATAATATGTAATGGGAATATATTTAAATATTGGAAGTTAATATACTGCCATATCGCAATACAACTACTGTTTTATTTCCCTTAAACATTTGTTGGCCAAAATCGGACTAGAGAACCCTTTTTTATGTGAACGCATTATTTTCTTTAATTTGAGTACCGTATTTTTCTGAGGAAAATATACTGAAACTCTTTTTTGCGTTTATAATCCGTATTGGGAATATATTTAAAGGTATGAACAAGTGGTACAATACAGTAGAATATTGCAAGTTAATATAGTGCCCTATTGCAAGGAATACAACTATTGTTTTATTTCCGTTAAATATCTGTTGACCAAAATCAGACTAGAGTACCCTTTTTCATTTAAACGCAATATCCTTCTTCTTGAATACAGTATTATCTACTGAAAAATTACTGAAACTGTTTTTTAGTTAAAGGCATTGTTTAATACGAATAATTAACTAAACTAAGGTATTATATTAAAAACAAAATAATAACATTCGTTAGGCCTGGCTACCTTTTCCATCCAGCCCATGTGTTTTTCTCACTGTGTTCTCAAAATGTGTATAAGAAATAAAACCCATTTTTTTTTTGTATTTAAATAATGTTTTTTTTATTGATTTTTTTGAAGCATTTTATAGTTTTATTAAAAAAAGAACTTACATGACACACGACCATACAATATTAATAAATGAAAATTAAAGGGAAAATTATATTCTGTTGTTGTTATTATTTATAGAACTTACACATTTAAGTTGTTGTTGAATACAAAAAAAATAATGTTATTTTTGTTTAATAAAAGAAAAAATACATATGTGAAAATAAGAATAATAATAAAAATGATATATAAATAAATGATCTCTCCTTAAAAAGCAGCCAGGCCAAAGGTTTATATTCAATACAATTTTGTTTCATTTGTTTTTTTTTGGGGGGAAATAATACTTAAAATTCTCATTTTTTATGTAATTATATTAATAAAAAACTGGGAATAACTGAAGTTGAAAAGACGAGAGAAATGAAAAACAACAAACACAAGAATCTGATTAATCGTTTACACAGCTTAACGACGATGGTGGTTTTTTTTTGTTTGTTTATGTTTTTTCTTTGCCTATTACGTTTTTGTTTATCTAAATAAAGCATTGATGTATTCTCTGAATTACCCTGTTGTTGTGGGGACAGTTGTTGAACAATACGTTTTGCATTAACACAGGGTAACTCTATACAAAAATGGTGTTGTGTCAGTGTGTGTGTGTGTGTTGAGGAGTGTTGTGTTTAATGTTCGCTGAATTGCAATCAATTCTTGTTCTCAATAAAATTTTTAATTTTTTGTTAATTTTGCAAAAGAATACTAAGTAATTTTTTTCCGTAAATATGAAATTAAGTGCAAAACTAGTTATTACAAATATTTTGGGGCGAACATTATATGTATTTGTGTTGGAATTTAAATATCAACGCTTTATGTTTTGATATCAAAAGCGTACAATTGTTTTTTTTTTTGTTTGTTTGTTGTTAAATATCAGCTGTTTGTTTACTTATTATTATAATGAGTTGGTTTTTTGTTTTTGTAATAATAATAGGTTAATGAAAAATATAATTAGTATTTGTTTTGTTGTTCATTTTCTTTTGTGTTTTTTGTTGTTGTTTGTAATAATTTAATAGTAAAGAGAGAGAGGGGGATTATATGCGTCTTTCCATTGGTTGTTATGTTTTAAATTTTCTTTGTTGAGTATATAGTTTTATTTGTTGTTATTAAACTGATTTCTTTGTTTTGTTTTTTAGCAGTTAATGATTTTTGAAAACTTATTTTGTTTTTATTGTGTTGTTTTTGCTTTGGAAAATCATTTTGATTTTCCAAAAACTTCTCTAAATTTTGAAGTTGTTGTTGAAGTTGTTATTATTTGAAGCGCAGTTTTTTCTCTTATAGTGCTGTGTTAGTTTTATTGTTTTTTTAATTTATTATTCATTCTTCGTTACTTTCTTCTTCATTTGAGTAGTTTTTTCTTTATTAATTAGTTGCCGTTGTTGTTGCTGATGCTGATGCTGCCGCTGCTATTGTAGTCTTCTAGCCAGATGAGGCAATGGGTGCTGCATTATCTTCGCTCAATGGCTGTTGGGCTGCGGCCTTGTTTTGACGTACCAACTCAGCTCGGCGCTCCTAATATTTTGTGCGTTTGGGGGGATAGAAAAATAATTCAAAAATTTTATTAATTACAAAATAGTTTGAGAAGAGAAATTTATTTGTTTGCAAAAATATGAAATCTGTTGACAGCAGTATGTTCGGACGGGCCCAACTTTGAATACCCTCCACGAATTCGGAAATTTTCAAAAAATAAAATTCGTCAAAAATTCTCTTCAAATCTTAAAAATATCGAATATAGGAAGTCGAAACTTGAAAAAAATACGGCGAAAATGTCGCTAAAATTATTAAAATACCGAATATAGGGAGGTACCGTTATATGGGGGCTACACGAAGACCTGGACCGGCATAGACAATTTTCTGTCACAGGGTGTAGTAACTTTTAGGAACTTCAAATACGAAATTAGAGACAATTCCGTTGAATAATGTTGCTAAAATCATCAAAAAATCGAATATCGGAAGGTACCGTTATATGGGGGCTATGCGATATCGGGAACCTATATAGAAAATACTCTTCCAGGGGGTAAAGTACTCAGAAGGAACTAACTGTGTGGATTTTCAGACAATTCCATTGAAAAATCTGGCTACAATCATCAAAATACGGAATATAGGGAGGTACCGTTGTATGGGGGCTATACGAAAACCTAGGGTAGCACAGACAATTTTCTGTCACAGGCTGTAGTATCCATTACGAACTTCAAATACAAAATTAGAAACAATTCCGTTGAATATTATCGCTAAAATCATCAAAATACTGAATATAGAGAGGTACCGTTGTATGGGGGCTATACGATATCGTGGACCGATATAACCCATCTTCAAACGTGACCTGCCTGCAGACAAAAGGCTGATCTGTGCAAAATTTTAGCTTCTTATATTACTTACTTTCGACTCTAGTGTGATTAAAACAGACGGGAGGATGGACAGGACTAAATCGTCTTAGACGATTACGCTGATCAAGAATATATATACTCTGCAGGGTCTAAAATTATTATTTCGATGAGTTACATACGGAATGACGAACTTAATATACCCTCCATACGATGTATGGTGGAGAGGGTATAAAACAATTAAGATGGCTGATATTGCCAGTCCTCATATACCACTACCCTTTTTATTATGCTTTAAGGACAATATTGGGAGTTCGATAATGGGGAAAAATACGCGACCAGCCTTTTTTGACAATAATCCCAACATATCCATTGCAACTGAATTCTTTGGTTTGAAAGAAACGTAATTCTTTTCCTCCAAACAGGTTTTAAATTGTTTTCCTAACCCGACTCGAAAAGATCGATTATTTTTGTTTTCATGAATCCTTTTTAGTCTAAATACATATTTTTTACGTGTCACCCTGTTTTATGGTTTATCTTTTAGGCCATGGTAGAATTAAGAAAGGATCCTCATTTCAAAACAATACATGTGACATCTCACAAAGACATCAGAGATAGGAACCGGGTTTTATGCAGTTTGGCAAGGTAAATTACAGAAATTGCAGAGCTGGATATGTTTTTTTGAAATGAGGTTACCTTCTTAATTCCTACATGGCCTAGAAGATAAACTATAACAACAGGGTGACATGTAATAATATATAATTAGACCTAAAAACATTTATTAAAAATTTAATAATTTTTATTTAAAATCATTGTTGGAATATTTTTCTCAGGAGACAAAAATGTTACATTATTGTGTCAGCCTGTATTTCATTATCTCTTTTTATTTATATTTTTTTTTTTTAAACTGTCACCCCATGATTTCCAATGGCATTTTTGACAAATTATATAACAAACCCTATCAACAGATTTCATTTACACACACGCATATACACAAAAATAACACAGGCATATGAATGACAAATTGACAGCGCGATGACTTAAGGTTATGATGTTTTTTTCTTCAAATTTTTTTCAATAAATTACAAAAACAAAAATAACAAAAAGCCATGATTTTTTAAATAAATTAAAAAATTCTCAACAAAACTTATAACAAAGCATGTTTTGTATATGACACAACTATTTATAGAAAAATACAAAAAAGAATGAAAATGAAACCTACGAGCTTTTGAACTTTTTCAATTTTCTTTTGTAACTCCTTTTCACGATTTTGTTCAGCGGTAAATAATTTATTTTCAATAATGCGGGCCTTCTCCTCGATTTTTTGTGATTCCAATTGATCAATTTGATTTTTGATTTCGGCAATTTTGACAGTGTTCTATATATAGAAAAAATAAACGAATTTTTGTTTGTTAAATGGAGAAAAAAGTTTTTAGAGAAAAGCAAAAATGAAACATAAAATGAAATATACATATACAAATAAAATGAGAATGTAATGAAATGAATGAATAATTTTATTCAATATATAATTTACACAATAATGTCATGATGAAGAAAAAAAAACTATAAGGTGAATTATGTATATGAAATGGGAATTTTATGGCAATATAGATTGTGTTTCAAGCGTAAGACTGTGCGAGGTAATGGTAAATGTAATTAAAACTAAAACAGAACGAGCATTGAGGACAAAAATACAATTACTGGTCTCATATTGACCATTTCTCGATGATAATTCCAGTGAATCTGAAGTTTATGTCGCCAGAGCTATGTTTTTGAACGTTCAAGAATTTACTTTTATTCATACTATCTTTTTTAAAGTACGAAAACCCATCAAATGCATAGCAATTGAGTTTCTCATCATTTCTAATAACATTATTAATTTATATGAGTCACCCTGTTTTGCTACAATATGTGTCTTCTCACTTTTGGTAACAATTAATACAAGTTTACTATTGCTTTGTCCCAGAACTGTGTGAACATCTTTAGTACGATAGCCGAATTTTGATTTATGATATCGAAAAAATGTAAAACTAAAAGATTATTGCATATTTTGGAACAGAACATATGTCTTCTTACTTTTCTTTCTACTTCGCAAGAAATAGAAATTTCCCTCTCTCAAAAAAATTTACTGAGAAAGACATACAAACAAACTCCTAAAGTAATGGGGTTGCTCAACACCATTATCAAATTAAGTGAGTCACCCTGTTTTAATGCAATGAATGATAGCATATGTTATGTTTACACTGTAAACGTTATACTAAATCAATCGATATCTGTTCTTAATAAAAATGTTATTCAAATTTTATGGAATGAGACCAAGAAACAGTTCATTTCTATAGAAAACTATAAATATTTGGTCAATATTGGCAAGTTTTCGCACAAAACAATGTCTAAAGATAAATAGAAAGGTCTATTAATAATGGAACACAGAATGTTTGTTGCGAGTTTACCCTATTTTCGCATAAATGGAAAATGGTATTCATATCTCTAGATAATACTGAGCAACTATTTACTGAAAAGTTATAAAAGGTATGCAAAAAAACTCCTAATGCAATGGGGTTGATAAATAACATTGTCAAATTATATGAGTCGCCCTGTTGTAATGTAATGAATGATAGCATATGCTATGTTTACACTGTATACGTTATACTAAATCAATAAATATCTGTTCTTAATAAAAAATTTTAATTAGATTTCTTGGAATGAGACCACAAAAAAGGTAATTTCTATAGAAAACTATAAATATTTGGTCAGGATTGACTAGTTTTCGGGCAAAACATTGTCTGAAGATAATTAACAAGGTATATTGACAAGGGGCACAGTAAGGCCAGCTGCAGTTTTCTTTTGTTGTCAGCTGTTTTCCAGAGCTGCGGAGGAAAAAAACATCAAATCCGATGAACAATATATATGGGAGCTATAGCTATATCTAAACCGATTTCGATCAAATTTGACCTACGTATTTCCAGGCTTAATTTGGTCCGATATGCCAAATTCCATACCATTTGGACTAATATTACACGTTTTGTGCAAAATAAAAAGCGAATCGGACGAAGATATATATGGGAGCTATATCTAAATTTTCGAGTGATTTCAATAGGGTTCGTGCTTGGGTTAAATAAATGACTTGTGCAAAATTTCATCTGAATCGGGCAAAAAATACGACCTGCACTTTGTTTACAAAAATACAAGGACAGACGGACATGCATAAGTCGACTCAGAATGTGATTCTATGCAGATCATGTCTCGTTTCCGTTTTGCCTGTTACAAACAAATGCAAAAAGGCATAATACCCTAACCACTTTGTGGTGTGGCCGGGTCGAACTTATAATACCATCCACCATCTGGAAGGACCTTAAAAAAATTAAAAAAAAAACATTCGTCGAAAAATACGAAATCGAGGACGTGCATAATTTTCTGTCATAGGTTGAAGTACCCAATACGAACCTAACATATGAAATTGGAAACAATTCCGGTGAGTAATGTCTCCAAAATCATCAAAATACCGAATATCAGGTGGTATCCATATATGGTGGCTATACGAAGACGAGGGTCTGCAAAGGTATTTTTCTGTCACAGGCTGTACTACCGATTACGAAGTGCAAATGCGCAATTTGAAACAATTCCCGTGTATAATGTCTCTAAAATCATCAAAATAGGGAGGGGTACCCATATATGAGGGCTATACGAAATCGAGGACCTGCATACACAATTTTCTGTCATGGGTTGAAGCATCCAATTCGAATTTCAAATACGAAATTTGAAACGATTCCGTTGAGTAATGTCTCTAAAATAATCGAAATTCCGAATATCGGAAGGTATCGTTATATGGTGGCTATGCAAAGATGTGGGCATGCATTCGCAATTTTTTTGTTATAGGTTGAAGTAGCCATTACGAATTTTAAATACGAAATTTACGGTGAACAATGTCTCGAAAATCATTCCAATACCGAATATCGGAGGGTACCGTAATATGGGATCTATACGATATCGTGGACCGATATAGCCCATTTATGATCTGTGCAAAATTTTAGCTTCCTATCTTTATTCGTCTTGACTTTAGCATGATTACAACAGACGGATGGATGGACAGGGCTAAATCGTCTTAGAATTTAACGCAGATAAAGAATATATGTGCTTTGTTGGGTCTGACATGAGTATTTTAAAGAGTTACAAACGGAGCGACAGTAAATAAAACATCCATAGCATGGTACAATAATGCAGGTAGATGCTTCAACGCTTGGAAACGTTGATATGTCAAAATTTATTCAATTTTTCAAATTTTTTTCTTTTTCAAAAATATCAAGATTGTATATGTTTTCTTATACAAGGACAATCGGAGGTTGTTTTGAGATGTATTATTCCAACAATGTTTACAAATTTTAATAATTTTTCATTCAAAATTTTCAATTCCAAAATAGGTTTGACAGTTCATTGTGCCAGCAGCTATGTCGATGAGACTATCTGCATTCTTGCACCATGGAGAATGGCAGAAGAATACAGGTAGATGCATCAACGCTTGGGAGCATTGATATGTCAAAAATATTTAAATGTTTTTTCAAATATAAGTAGATTTTCATATACTTTCATATACTACGCCATTCGGAGGCTATTATAATTCGCGTTTTTCAACAATTTTTACAAATTTAAATAATTTTTCATTCAACATTTTCAATTCCAAAATTGGTTTGACAGTTCATTGTCCAAGCAGCTGTGTCGACGCGTCTACCTATATTCTTCTACCATGCCATGGAGGGTATAAAAATATCTAATAAATAATCTTGAATAGCATAAATGAGCTCATATGGCAAAGCAAACGTTTGAGTCACCCTGTTCAGCAATAGATCACTGTCAATGAAGGCACTAACAGAGTCACCCTGTTTTACTGGAATAAATGTTAACTTATGTCATGTTCCCACCACATACTTTACACGAAATCAATTAATTTTTGTTTTCAATAAAATTTTATAACATTTTATGTCTTAAAATGAATATCTCAGGCTGGAAATACATAAAGCGCATATTTGGCTGGTTTAAGTCATCGGCTGGCTTCTTCGTAGATGAACAAAGGAGTTTTAGGTTGACCTAGTTCGATTTTGGCCCTAGGTTCTTTTGTTCATTTCCGAAGAAGCCAGCCGATGACTTAAGCCAGCCAAATAAGCGCTTTATGTATTCCCAGCTTCAGGGCCTCTGATGGCAACTTCATATATAATTTTGAATTGTTTTGTTGTCTACTGGAAAATTACATTTACCATGTTCTGCTTGTACTCTATGGGAGGGTGTGCAAAATAAGGTGCCTTGTTTAAATAATAATAATAATAAAAATAAAGAAATAAAATGAAGTATGGTTGGCTTCAAATTAATAAAAATTATGGATATTTACAACGAATATTTTAATTAAAAAAACTCAGATGAGTAATAAATGTTATAAACAATGAAAAAATGGAATGGTGCTATTTTGGTGGTGCCTAACTTAAGTTTCTTCTTCTTCTGTTAATTCAAAAAAATTCTAGGGGAAGTAAAATCAAGTTGTTGCAAACTTACATGTTCCTTTAGGCGTTCCAACATTTTCTTGATATTTTCATCGCGCAAAGTTTGAGCGGTCTTGAGTTTTTCTTCAATGGCAATTTTTTCAATGTATTTTTGTTGTTCCAATTGTTCGCGAGTCTTTTCGATTTCTTGAGAGTGAATCTGAAAAAAAGATACATAAAATATTATAAAAAAATATTTTCAAGTATGAAATTTCAACTAACCTTCAATTTTTCTTTCAAATCACTAATAATGGCTTCACGCTTCTCAACATGCTGTTCCATTTTCGATTCCAATTGTTCCTTGGTTTGATTGATGAACTCATTGGTGATCTCATCCTTTTTGCGTGTGGCTTCTTCAATCTTGGCCAATTTGTAAGTTAAATCGGCCATTTTCTTTTGTTCCAAAGACTAAAAATTTTATAAAAAAAAATAATTTTAGAAATATTTTGTCTAATTTTTTTAAAATTCCAACTTACAATACGTCTTTCTTCAGCGGCCTTCAATTTCTGCTCAATTTCTTCGGCTGAGACATTTTTGCCAGGTGTTACTGGCTTCTTGGGAATGGTTACATTGGGTGCTGGCTCAGCCAGAATTACCTCGTAACTCAAACCGCCGCGTGACTTTTCCTGGCAGCGAATCTCAGTGGCTGGAATAGAAGAAAAGGAACAAAGATTAATTATTAAATAATAATACAGCAAAGAAGGAGCGGCTTTTCAAGGCCTTAAAAAAAGCCGGTATATACTAGATTTTATAAAAAAATGGAAAATTTTATAATTTTTTCACAAACTCGTTATTCCAAATTGCTTTATTTATAAAAAAACAACAATTTTTATTCTCAACAAATATTTAAAACATATTTTTTGTTAATTCAGTTCTGTTTTTGTTTTTTTTTTAGTTGGGCGCCACACAGCAATTTTACGATTCATTTCCACAACATTAATTTAACACAAAAATGGATGTGTGGTACATTTGTTTCAAGAGTCGAAAAGGGCATTTAACAAAAATAAATCATGAATATGTTGTTGAAGGTCTGCTCTTGTAGGGCCATTAATCACTGCTTGACCAAATGTTTTAAACGAAAATGGAGACATGAAAAGTTTGTTTACATAAATAACTTGGAAAGAAATGAATAATTTGGTCAAACACTTGAACATTTTACAAGGAAATTTCGAAGCAGGGAGAAAGAGTAAAAATCCATTGTGGCTTCGGAAAGTACTTGATTTAAAAGATGAGGCAATTTTAAGGTTAGTGTTGCAAATAATGACATTTATATGAAACACACGCGTTTTATTGGGTCTAAGGTTCTCTTAAATGATTTGAAACATTTGAAAATCCGCCTTCACCCTGGGAAGGATGAAGGGGCCCGCAAAATAGTATTGTTAAAAGAAGGCTGGACCATTGTTAAATCACTGAGAAAAAATGACAGCGTAAATAAAAAATCTTGTCACGTCGTACTTTAATTTGCTCTTTTCCAGAACCTGCAAGATTCTACTAATATTGCAAATTTTTGCGATATCAAAAAGGAAAATCGGTTATTCTAGTAAAACATTTACATTTCTGCGTTCCGGAACAGAGTGATTATTCAAATCGACCTTTAACAGTTTATATTTTTAATATAATGTAACACCCTGTTAGTGCTATCAACTTGTAATGGATGACACTTCTCGTATTAGACTTGCATACTTATATAATCAATCCAATCAATTCTCGATCTCAATAAAAATTAATTCAGATGTACGACGAGTTAAAACTATTAATGAAATACCTGTGGTAGAATTAAGAAGGTAAGGTCATTCGATCATATTGTAAAAATTTATATTTATAAATCCATTGTATACACAAAAAACAGCGATGAGAACCTGTTTTTATTCAGTGAAATTTGACAAGGTAATTTACAGAAAATGCAGAGATGTATAGACTTATTTGAAATTACTTTACCTCGTTAATTTTACCATGGAAAATCGGTTATAGTAATAAAACATTTACTTTTTTGCCTTTCCGGAACAGATTTATTATTTAAATCGATCTTTAACAGTTATATTTTTAATATAATGTAACACCCTGTTAGTGCTATCAACTTTTAATGGATGTCACTTCTCGTATTAAACTTAAACTTGTATACTTATATAATCAAACCAATAAATTCTTGTTTTCAATAAAATTAATTTGGTTGTAGGACGAGTTAAAACTATTAATGAAATACCCATGGTAGAATTAAGAAGGTAAGGTCATGCGATCATATGTTCACAATTTTTTAAATTATTAAAAAAAGTGTATGTTTATAAATCCATTGCATACAAAAAAACAGAGATGGGAACCTGTTTTTATTCAGTGAAATTTGACAAGGTAACTTCCAAAAAATGCAGAAATGGATAGACTTATTTGAAATGTCTTTACCTCGTTATTTTTACCATGGAAAATCGGTTATAGTAATAAAAAATTTACATTTTTGCCGTTCCGAAACAGAGTGATTATTTGCATCGACATTTTACAGTTTTTATTTGTAACATAAATTAACACCCTGTTAGAGCTATCAACTTATAATGGATGACACTTCTCGTATTAAACTTGTGTGCCTACATAATCTAAGCAATCAATTCTTGTTCTCAATAAAATTGAATTCAGATGTACGACGCCTTTAAACTATTAATTACTTATCCTATTTTAATCCTCACAAATAATCAACGTCTATATTTTGTTTTTTTATACACTACCCAGTATGGAGGGTATATTAAATAAATGATAATAAAATAAAATTGAATGAAAGCAAAAAATGTAGGAAATAGCATGAAAGTTTGAAATAAGTTTAGATTTGTTCGAATTGGTCACCTTTGACACGAATTATAGCCTTCAAATGGCCAATGAAACCGTCACACGCTGCCCGAATGTTGCTCTGTGGTATTTTGCCACATTCCCGGCGAAGCGCTTGCTTGAGGTGATCGACACTTTGGTATTTTTTAGTGCCAACCTTGCTTTCCAAAATACTCCAGACACAATAGTCCAACGGATTGGTATCCGAAGATTTTGGTGGCCATTGTGCGCTGAAAATGAAGCGAGGAACCTCATTTTGGAACCATTTTGTGGTGAAATGGCACTATCCCGCTTGAATTCCATCACGAACAACTTTTTTTCTCGAAATTTCTCACCAAAATGCTTTTGTACGCTTGTAAACAGTATAATGAACTGTCACTGGAGTAATTTTAAAAGCTGTCGGACGAGTGGCTTAGATATGACAGCAGTCTGAAGTTGGTTGCAGTTTTTTCATCTGTATATTAGAATCATCCTGCTTTTCTGCCATCATAACGATCAACGTCTAACAATTAGCCAATTGTTTAGTGCTGCTTTAGTGCTTACAATTAAAAATGAATGGTATTCCATTTTATTAACGAGCAACTCATAATTATGTACTAATCCTACCAACGGTATGAGACTCTTCATGTATGTGTTATCATCTCAAAGTGAGTTCCGTTTGCGGTATAACTACTATTTTTCATTCAATTATTGTTCCTAATAAATATGTTACTAATACATTGGAAACACACTGTTTTATTTCACTCACAACGACCAACACCTAGTTAGGGTTAACAACTCAAAGTAAATGGCATTCCGTTTTTATTAACGAGTAACCCTTGATTATGAACATACACCACTAACGGCATACGAATATTTGTATAAATGTTATCATTTCAAAGTGAATGTAGTATAACTACATTAACTCAACCATCAACGGCATAAGATGTATGTTATCATTTCAAAGTGAGTGTAGTATTACTAACTTCCTTTTCATAAACTCGACCATCAACGGCATATGATTCGTGGCATAAATGTCATCAGTCCAAAGTGAGTGTAGTATAATTCGCTTCCTTTTCATAAAATCCAATCAATTCTTGTTCTCAATAAATATTTTGGTTAAATATATTAGAATCACCCAGTTTTTCTGTCCTCATAACGGTCAACACCAATTAATCAACAAACCAACTCAAAATGAATGACGTTCCTTCTTATTTACGATCAATACCCAATAACGGCATGAGACTCTTTGTGTAGATGTTACCATCTCAACGTGAGTGCCGTTTGCAATATAACTAGCTTCCTTTTCATAAACATCAATTATTTATTGTTCTCAATAAATATTAAACTTCAATATATTATTAGAATGTTTTTCCATTCTATCACGTATATCATCATTAACACGAAAAAGCTTTTACTAATTGTTTGGGATAAAAAGTTTACGGAATTATAAAATATTTCTCATTTAGAATTTCTTTTTCTTTGTTTCCAAACAACTATATAATGACCTAAAAATTCTACAATAACAGCAAAAAAAAAAAAAAAAAAAAAAAAAAAAACAGAAATAATAAAAAAAACTTGTGAATAGTGAGAATAGAATCATTCAAATGTATATTATGTATAGAAATTATTTAGTTTTATGGTCATGTTTAAAAAGTTTTCTTCTTCTTGCCACGCTCAACAGAGTGTGAAGGTATTTCGTAATACCGAGTATTATGGGAAAAAGTTTTGTATTTATTATAAATGTTAATGAGTTGAAATGTTGTTCATTTTTTATTTCTTTTTTTGCTTTCTCTGCCATAGAATATTAGCGAAGTGCACAAAATTGCAACTAACATTCATATTAAGCCATAAGGACAATGGAGGGAGAAAAAAAAATGTTAGTTGGAGTATAAATAATGCAGGGCTGTGGGACCTGTAATTGTTGGGTTAAGACAAAGTTTGATACTAAATTAAAAGTTAGTTTGACATTATGGGTATTGAGGGTGTAAAATTTGTTAAATCAATGAGATTTTTTTGAGGATTAGAATACTTCTCAAGAAGATTTTTTGCAGGAACCAATAACCCAGCAATCTTGGATTATTTAAATAATTTAGTCTCAGAGACTAAACAAACAATAGTCTAGAAATTTTTAACCATTTTTTTGTGACCAACTAACTAATGCTCGTGTTTTTTTTATAAATTTTCAAAATATTTTTTTCAAGAATCATCCAATTAATCACGGTGAACTTTTTTTATTTTAATTTCATATACCCTAATTGAAACCAGAATCGCCACCTAGAAATGTTTTCTAATTCTGTTCACGTTTGACCTCCGTACCACCACACACACACACTCAATGTCTACTATGCTCTACATAATCTGGCGAATTTTTCCACGAATATAAAAAAGTCATTTTAATTAATGCTGTGCTAGCTGATTTTAATTCTAAGGTAATAAGTCAAAGGCCAGCTGAATTAGTTCAGCTAAAATCCAAGCGCGTGAAGGGAGGGTCATTAACATAATAACATGAAATATGTGGTCCTTCGACCATAAAACATATGTATGTGATTATAATTAGAGTGTTTTACACTTGCCTACACCTCCGGGGAAAAATTCAAAATGCTGGAAAATTTAAAAAATTATAAAACTCAGCATTGGGATGTAAAATCACAAAAAAACAACTATTAAAATTGCTTGCTCATTCGTTTCTTTTTTTCAGTTTTTAAAAATGTTTGAAGAAGTCATCTAGTCATAATTGTTGTTTGTGTGTGGACTAAAATGAAAAAAAAAAAAAAAAAAAAAAAAATGTGAAAAATGCGTATCCTTTTTTGTAAATCCACCCAACCAACAAATAAGAACAACAGCCGGGGTCGT